TATCTATCCTTTTACTTATTGCTTAAACTTTCGCGTTTACTACATTCAAAGTAGGATTGCTTCTAATATTTAATAATATCTACTTCTGTACCAAAATGCATAAGCTTTAAGTTATTTCCACTTTCGTTATTTGTCTATCGTTGTACGTTTCCTTCAGTATGTCCATGTGTATAGTTGCCCGGCAAACTATTTGACAGGCCCACAATACGGTAGTTTCCAACTAGTCAAATTCAATACTTTTATACAAATGTCAAAAACGATACTTTTCTATGAAATTTGTATGAAAAACTGAGCTATGACGTCATAACAAACTTGGTCATAAAAAAATCTAAAACTTGGTGTATCGATCGATTGATGAATAAAAGTATAGTTATTTGTCAATTTCATTGTATTGAAATATCGGAATAATTTATTTTTGACCTAGGAAACTACCCAATTGAAGGTAAGTAATTATACCGATATACAAGACCATAAATGTTGGGCATATGGAAATTTGAGTTAATATTTTTTATCAGTTTTTGATTTTATAAGAACTTTCAGTTTGACAATGTCAATTTTTTTATTACATCAATTTCGGAATTTGTCTATCTTTGTGCTTTCACTTTGGTTTACATCCATGTTTAAAATTGTATTTTATAAAGGTCACCTCATGGTAAGCAATCACACCAATATACAAGAACATTATAAATGTTGGACATTTGGTAAACTTTCAATAGTGGTAATTCGAAAGACAACAGAAGAAAAGGTGCGCGAACACCGGCGTTCGCTTGGGGTTCGATGAATTAGTTACTGAAAAATAGTTTTCCGTTAATAAGGTTAATACAGAGGGTACTGCCTTTCTAATGACTGTGTTATTTGAAAGTAATCGCTTGTTGCATAACTTTAACAACTTACGATAAACATTGGTTCGTATTAACATCATACAATTTTCATGACAACAATACACATGTCAGCTTTTTCGTTAATCCAATAACGTAAGACGTATCAATTTTCCGAATAAAATTAAAAATTATGAAAATTAGATAAGTGAGCAATTCGTTTAGAGATTAACAATGTTCCGATAACCATCAGATTTGGGGTTTTTTCTATGGATCGAAATCTATCAAATATTATAATCACCTAGTTGTACATAATTATATTTAAAAGTATCACTTTTCCTGTTTATTTCATTATTTAGTTGCTAATGCCGTGTTACCGGTTATAGTGTCATTCCTCCAATAATATTTTAATAACCTCTATTAATGGGAGGATGTGGTTATTTCCTTTCGATATCAAAACTGCTCCATAAAAAACACATACCTAATAAAAAGCTAGGAGTTACATAAAAACAGTTTATATTTTTATTAAAAAGAAGAAAAACTAGATGAATAATGTCTATAATTAATTTATTAGTCCCATAACGACACTAATCGTTCGGCATGTAGCTACCTAATATTAAAAAAAAACATTAATCTGTGTATCACGTATTGCCCAATGACGTCATAAGATAAGGCAGCCGAATAGAATGATAACAATATTTACGAGGCAGACGCCGTGGTATTATCGACCTACGAGGCCGGCAGACGCGGTGAATGAAAGCCGAGCATGCGCACTAAAACCCGCGACTTGCGACATTATTGTATTCGAACGAAACAATACTAAATATTAAGTTCGAAAGCAAAATAAACTTCAGAACAGGTGCGCTGTTTACACCAAATGGGTATAATGAGTAGAAAACTGAGTACAGTCTGGTTTTTTGTATAAAAACATGCAGACAGGCTGAAAAACAGACAATAGACAGAACACTGCGTAACACTCACTATGCACACACACACGCGCTGATCAATAAAATAAAACACTTCAACACAAATCGAAACACGACAACATTTTCATAAGACACTGCACGCGGAGGAATTGGATATTGGGGTTATTCCCAAAGGGATATCGTGAATATTGTGACGGAACAAGGGTCCAGGGCAACGTTGGGACTAGAACTGGCCGTGACGTCACCCAGGCGCGGCGACGCATGCGTGTTGGAAACGCCGCATCAGATTTAGAGATACTGGATATGAAAGGGGATCAAGGAGATTATTCATTGGAACGATCTCTACTGATTATTTTTTATTTTTTAGTTCTCTTATCCTAGCTTAATACATAAGATATGTAGCTCATGGGTCAATCAATATAAACCAGGTAATAAAAAACTGATTTTTATTCCTCAGTCACCTTCGATTATTTATAACATTCCAATGACAACATGTCGTCTAAATTCGTCTGTTTTTAAAATAGATAACTCAAGCAAAAGCTACATTCGGTTCCACCTATATTTTTATCACTATTACAAGATTTTAATCAATTAGGTTACGAATCACGAAGACCAGTTTTTCTCATTTAACAAAAAGTTTGATCGTAAAAAGTATCTATGACGTTTTCAGATATAATGGTACATCCGTGTTTACTACGGTAGCGTAGCTAGTGTCCTAATTTGTTCCACATTAATTAATCAAGAGCGCTGTAGCTGCAAATTGAACAATATTTAATTATTTCGATGACCTGACCCGGAATCGCCTGCGTAGCGCTTCGAGCCTCATTAATTTATTGTTGGACTTCATTTACTTAATTTACAGAGCTCAGGCTTGGATACTGTTACCGTAAATAAATGCCATGTACAACAACAAACATATTATGATTCTAAGATTCTTGGTTTTACATTACAAGTAAAGTGAAATATGCAGACGCAGATCTTGTCTATGAAAACGTAAAGTAATTTTAAGGAAATGCCCTACTGTCAGTTAAGGAGTAGGAAGTCGTATTTTGATTTGATCCCGTAGCTACTTAAGTAATATTATAACACGGGGAAGTTGCGAAATTAGAGTTCAGAGTGTTCAATTTGCTGGGAAACGCAATTTACGTTCGCAAAGTCTCCGAGAAAAATGAAAAAATATCACTCGAGTCTGTGGTTTTTGGGTGAAAATGAAACCTTTTTACGCGTATACAGCTAAGTATAATCTGTTGGAGTTTACTTGGTTATTTTGGGTCAACAATGGTGAATGAAGTAACATAGTAGGTTTACGTGTTAAGCCGTCGTAACAGATACTCAGCAATACTTTTATAATATTATCACGCAATGAGCGTCACTAAAGCTAAAGCGAAAACATTAGTAATGTATTATTTTTATGGTTAACTAGCTGACCCGGCAACATCGTTCCGCCTCAAAATTAAACCTTCCCTGTATATCGGGGAATATTTCAAGACAATAAACCATTTCTGTCCAGCCTTTCTCGAGTTCTAGATTCCGAAAAGAGTTTTGTATTTAAAATCGTTTCAGGAAAATAATAGAAACTTTTTGGTAGGACACAGAGTTTCTTACAAGTAGGTACTTATAATAGATACACGCGACTTTAAAAACTGATGTATCACACAGTTTTCACTTCACTTCAGTTGTTAAAAATACAAATATGTGCTTACGATGACCATTATTCATGTCTCTACTGAATAGCCAATAGATCACCACAGACGGGGCCCTATAGAGCTGATGTTCAGACGGGGTTGCGGGGTAAGCACAATGAGGCACCGCGACCTCGGCCCAGAGCAGCAGAAGGAACAGGGGGGTTTTTTAGTCAGTAAGAGTCTGACACTCCCTCCCGCACGGCCCTGGGCGGGAGAAGTCATTTGATGATTTTCCCCTCACAAAAAAGGTCTCTTCTGAATAGGTTACAAAAAACTATAGGAATTTCTGGCAAGAAAATGCAAAACTCGTCATAACTAAAACGAAGTTAGAAATTGGCAATGTTTTACGTTTCGCTGCATCGGCTCTGGATAGCATGTAAAGCCAATTCGGTAACACGTCTAATGTGCATTCAGATGCGGCGGATTATCGTAGCCATCTACATGTACGTACATATTTAGTCCGTCAAAAGTGTGCTAGAGCAATTATCTTCGTCACTCCTATTACCTCATGTCGCACCAACTTGAATGATCACCCCGTGGCAATCCGAAAGTGGCCCATCGCGGGGCAATCTGACAATAAATCGACCTCATCTAAATTAATTCAGTCACAAGTGGCATGAGAGTATAAATTATCATCTCCAGACTAACTCTTTTAGAGATTGTTGGATAACAAGGATCAGTTTCTATACATACTCATTTATTATATATGTAGGTATGCAAATAAATGCTCGAAATATCAATAAACAAAGTCACTTTCTCTGTCCCTACGTTTTAAATTTTTGAAACTACGTAACGGATTCTGATGCGGTTTTTTAGTAGATAGAGTGATTGAATAGGAAGATTTATATGAATCATAGCATCCTTCGCATATGCGAAAAGTAGGGGCAGTCACTAGTTAGTTCTAATGAAAAAAATGCCTTTTTGTAACCTTATTAAACCGAGAACTTGGTACTAAAGAGTTAATAGTAATAAAATAGGAATCAAATAACACATTGAATGCAAAACATAAAAAAACTTTCCTGTTCACATAAAAAATTGCAAGCAATGTAAACAAGAATATCTGTATCGAATTACGCATCGTTTTTACGACTCAACTACATGTGTTATGCTGCCCGTATTTAAAACATATGGTTTTAATTTTATTAATGTCTGCAATAACATTTATGCATTAATACTTTTTCGATAAGACTTTTAAATTTTACTATCATGAATGGCTTCCTGTTCTGTTTCATCTATGGTTTAGGATATTTTTTAGTTGTTATATACTTCATTACGTATCCTATCGTAAAAAAAAATATAGGACTTGGTTTTTAATAACTTGTTACAGAAGGATGATATTTTTTATCAATATTTTCAAGTGTGGGAGAGCCATGCTTGTGCTCACGTTTTGTTGGCACTTCCACTCCCCATCTTCAAATCCCATATCCTTACATCCCTAATAACCCACAAGAGGCCAGTAATGCACTTGCATCATCAGGTAAAAAGTATGCTCCTTTGCTGACTTATGATATAAAAAATCTGCAACTGGCAATTTAAGATATAATATTATAAGAATGGATTTCGTGACTTACCTTGTCCTATATCTGCGCGCATGGTAGAAACTTGGTCATAAAGTGCAGCACATATCCAGGTTAGCATCAGAAGCCATAGTAGAAGAGTACCTCTCACAGCCCATCTCAGAGCACATTGTACCTCAGCACCAATGTTGTGTTCAAGTGCTACTGGGGCAGTATTTCTGCTGCGTTCTCGTCTAAAAGAGAAAGAAGTTTTGATAACTATGTAAACTCCTTTTTTGCTGCATTTCTTTTCCTATTCAGCCTCATATAGTCTGTTCTGGCCCCAACTTCGTCTGCAAGTTATGTTGATAAAAACCAGCCTATGTGTTGAACCAGGGTATCACTAGTCTACATACCAAATCAGTCCAGCCATTTATGAGTGAAAGAATAACAAACATTAATCCATACATTCTCCGTAACTTTCACATTTACAACATTTGTAGGATTAACAGTTGACTCAGTGGATTAATTAATGAGTAATGGCTTAAATAAGTATAATATGACCATTTTAAAGAATGTCTTTGATTGTATATTAATATTGGCATTGTTACCAGCATTCTCACATGTCCAGTGTTGGATGAAGCATTTTTAAAATTTCAGATGTTTAGGTCCAATTCATGATAATGTTTGCAGTATATCAGTGAATTTCAAGCAACAGACATTTAAAAGTCTATAGGGACTGGGTGATGCTGCCTCTGTGAAACTAAGCTAATGCCTCAATGCCCATCAAAGAAAAAACTTGTCATACACTTAAAAACAATATTATTTCTACCTTAATTAGATTTTTCATATTTAAATAATAAGCTTGAAAGATAAAATCTGTTAAGTTTCAGTCATTAAAAACTGATCTTAATCCTGAATAGAAGCAGCCAAAAATTTACCAATCTCATACTAACAGGATTTTATATAATAATAAAAAAATAAGTTTTTTAACAGAGCTTTTTAGAATAACTGAAACTGTAAAGAATGGTATAATACATTATTATTTATTATCAGTTTCTACATAATGATTAGTTAAATCAATGCTCACAACAGCAACTTGTGTAACTATCACCAGAATGTTAGATTTTTTTTGTAATTAATTTAATTATTTTCGTAGATAATGAGATTTTCTTAAAGCTAAAATAGCTATGAACTCGTAAGTAAACAATGAAGTACATTCTTCATGCATTATAATAATTCTAACTAAGTAAATAGGTTAAGTTGTTGTTTAATATGTGACCACCGTTTATTGGCAGTTATTGTTATACAAACCTTGTGATTTTCTTCTTTCTGCTTGGAATTATTTCTAGCTGCAAGTCTTCAGACTCTTCGTCGCTAGACAAATCCAGGAGACGGAAGTTTTCCTTGTTGACTTTTGATGGTGCAGACATTTTATACTCCGGCTCATACAACACATACTATTTGTTACTTTTATGTGCGATATGCATCAGATAGATAACCACACCGTATTTATTTACTTGCTATCATATATTCACTTCAAGGTTAGAAAAGTTTGAAAGTAATTACCGCAATTAAAATGTTACTGTGAACACTACTGAGGAGGTAAAGTTAACCTTGGATAGTTCAGAATATAATTAAATTTAAGATATGTAACAGTATTGCTTATGAGATTCTTTAGAAGATAAAACTACGTTGTTTAGCAAAAATGCAAAATTAAAGAAGTGATGAAAATTGAAAATGTCAAAGTCAAAAAAAGTAATATTTCTTGGCCTCGCTGTTGTCTATTGCTCTTGATCAAAAAATGTCACTCCTAATTTATCAAAAAATAGAACTAACGACTTTGACTAAATTTATTTAGTCGAAGATTTAATTATAGGAAAACAATATGCAATAATTAACGTAACAATTATATGAGAAAGGATAAATTGGCGCTTAGGCTTTTTGAAACAGACATGCTTTAATGTTTTTATTTTAACCTGGCAAAGATTGTAACTTGTCAAATGTTAGAGATAAGTTGTCACTTGTCACTATTGACTGTCAGTCTATCAGTCAAATTGTCATTGCAATTTTGGTAAATGCAATGGATCGGACACCAATTTTAATTGATTTTATTAGTTAATTAGAATATATAAAATATTATTTACATTAGATCGTTACAACCATGAAAGAAAAATGGAATTTTATTTTGTATTTAGTATGGTTCGCCTACTTGATCCTGTCAGCGGTTCTCATGTTCGGGCATGGATTCCTGTTGTCTCGTAAAACACTGAGTGATGTGACTGAATGTGTGCCGCTTGATAACTTCGGATGCGATGGACACGAAAACTCTACTGTGAAGGGTTATTGCGATGAAGAAGAGAAAATTCGACGTATAGTGGCTGTGCCTGGCGGTCCGCTGGCCTGCGTTCCCAAGCAGTCCAGAGTGGTGTTTTTACTAGTTGATGCACTTCGATACGATTTTACTGAGTATGATGAGAGTATAGTGAAGCCATTGCCTTATCAGAATCGTTTGCCAGTAATGCGCGAGATGTTGGACCGCTGGCCGGACCGCACGCGCCTCTACCGGTTCATGGCAGATCCGCCTACCACCACGCTCCAGCGTGTGAAGGCGCTCGCCACGGGATCATTGCCGACCTTTATCGACGCAAGCTCGAATTTCGCAGCCATGGAGTTACAGGAAGACAATATAATTGATCAAGTGAGTTAGTAGATGATGAAAAAACTATGATTAGCAATATTGATAATGAATTAATCTTATCACTGTCCTCAAATGTTATCTTTGTTAATAGGTGACAAGGAATGGAGGACGGGCAGTATTGCTTGGAGATGATACTTGGTCCCGTCTTCTACCAAAGCGCTGGTTGAGGTCACATGCCATGTACTCATTCCATACATGGGACTTGGATACTGTTGACAATGGTAAATACTACGAAGAGCTTCATTATTTATTTATACTGATATGCCTATGTCTTGGTGTTAATGCTTAATAAATTAGCCATACAGCTTTAAAAATTCAGTGATAAACATTCAAATATATAAAAAACTCTGGTAAGTTTAGTTGCCATGTTCCTATACCGTTTTTAAAATAACAGACTGACTGACAGACCAGTAGTATATATTAATATTATTATTCTTATTACAGATTTATATATTTAAATAGAAATTATATCAAATCCTCTAAGATTTTAATAAATGAAATCCCCTTTAATGTCTCTTGCAGAAGTTGATGCTAAAATATATGATGAACTAAGAAGAGATGACTGGAACCTGTTGGTGGCTCATTACCTTGGAGTAGATCATGCAGGGCATAGATATGGGCCTAACCACCCCGAGATGACAAGGAAGCTGGATGAAACTAATACTCGGTTGAAAAAGGTCATTTCTATGTTGCCACCAGATGTTCTTTTGTTTGTGGTTGGAGATCATGGGATGACAGAAAATGGTGAGTTTTGGAAACTAAGTTTTAGCATCATTTTAAAATATATCAAGTAAATAGAGTCATAAAATATAGAGAAATTAATTGATAAAATTGTTCAAATTTGTTAAAGCTATCATAGTACCTATTAAATTTCAGTCAAAGAATTTAATTATTGTGAATTGTTCAGCTGTTAAGAAGTAGCTAACTATGTATTAAAATAATGTATTTCATAAAAAAAAATATGTTATATGTATGTATTTATCTATGGGCTATCAGGGAAGTAATTAAAATAATTTTGAGTAGGATATTTTTCTTTGTAATGTTGTGTTTTGTAATATCAGCAAGTAAAAGGTGTAAATTTTTCACATTGTTTTAGACTCACATGAATGGACAAATTCAAATGGTAGGTATTATAGTACAAGCTTGCATTGTAGCAGATTTGTGTGGTCATTTTGCTGTTTTCTTTAGGCTAAACATTTTGCTATTATATGTGTGAATCTAAAGCATTTTTTCTCGAGTTTGTGTCCATAGATAATTAGCTGGTTATACAACTTTTTTTGATGCTGTGTGCTTATTTTTTATGTTTTGGATTTGGAGAGCTTATTTTTGCAATTAACAATCCATTTTAAAAAGTGATAAAGTATTTTTAATAGTCTGATAGGTTTTGCATGGCTAGAATTTCTTCGACACACAGAAAAAATAAAAATTGCTTTTGTCAGGTGACCATGGAGGTGAAAGTAAAGCTGAACGCACGGCGGCGTTGTTCGCGTACCGAGGCGCGGGTTTGGCGGGAACTGGAGTGGATTTAATGATAGGAAAAGAAGTGCAGCAAACTGATCTAGCACCGACACTCAGTGCGGCGTTAGGGAGACCACCCCCAGCACCCTCACTAGGACATCTTCTTTTACCTGTCCTGCCGCAAGCCAGCAAAAGCCATACTCTGCTACATATTACCAACAATTTAAAACAGGTGAGTTACAGCCTACTTGGCTGAATATTCTCCTAAAATTATTTATTTTAACGCAATAAAAACATGGTTGCTATAGACAAAAGGATTTTTAAAATACCTATTCTCTTATCATTTTAAGCAACATTTGTTTTTTACTGTAGTAAAATGTTAGAATGTTATCTTGTGTGACAAATGCTCTGCAGTAGTATGCTTATTACCATATATTCAGAATAATTTAAATAGGATAATTCCACTGTCAACAGATAACGCAATACATGATTCGCTATGGCGAGGAATCCCAGCAAGTGTCACTCGACCGACTTGCGCATCTTATCAACACGACAAGGGAACAATTACACAAAGCCGCCTCCATTGAAACTGACGACGACCTCAACAATTACGCAGCGGACGTCAGGTAATTTACAAGTTTAGTAAACAGGTGAATTTGAATATTAGCTTAACGTAATAAAGATTATTTTTGTTTCAGAGCACTTGTCGACAATGTACGAAATGTTTTCCGAGAAGTCTGGGTCGAGTTTGATTCGTTGTCTATGCTTAGAGCTTTGTTACTTCTTCTTTTGGCCATATTTTTCAATTGGTTGATTACTGAGGGTATTCCTATGGAACGCCTTCCTAATGTATTCGCTAGTACTTTTGTCCCGACTGGGCTAATATCTATGGCGGTTTGCATCGGCGTGTGCTACACAGCATTTTATTTCAAGTTCCTAGAAGATTTAGAACACGCTATTATTCTGAGTACTGGATTAATATCAGCCAGTGTAACTTGCGTTTTAATAATCATGCACTGGGATGGGATTGCACAGCGGTGGTATGAGGGACGCTCACAGTTCTATGAACGTTTCGCTCGAGCGGCTCTCGCGGCCTCCGCGGCAGTATTGGTGTCGAACAGCTACATTATAGAAGAAGGCGCTACCCTCGCGTTTTTGTGTATGACTGTGCTAGGCTTGATGGCTTGGAATATAGGCAACTTTACCGCGTTGTTGTATTGGATTGCTTGTGGGGTAGCGTTTGCAGCTACTAGGTCGTATCGCGGTTGTAGAGAGGAACAGGGAGATTGTTGGACGGCTGGTGCGGGCGTACCGACGGGACAGTCGTCGCGACCAGCGTTAGTGCTGGGCATGGGGACTGTGGCGGCTGTGGTAGCTATATGTAGGCGCCATGTAGGCTGGCGGGGTTATTGTACTGTAGTGGCGGGGTTGCTGGCCTGTTCTCACTGGGCGACAGGTTACGGATCACTGGGGTCTCCCAGCCGTGCCAAGCTGTTGGCTCGGGCTGCGTGGTTAGTGCTGGCAGTGATGCTAGCATTGCTGTGGAAGCGCGAAGGCCGTGGCGCCACGCTACCTCTGATGGCTGCTGGCCTCATGCTGTTTGTCGCCAATACCTTAGTTCTCGGCGTGTCATACGCCCCTGCCGCTGTGCTATCCTTAGTACTGGCATGTTTAGCCCTCAACATAGTTGCTAGACTGAAGAGCGATGGGTCTACGAAATTTTGTAAGTCATTTTATTTTACAAGTAGTCATCATTCCTCGAAATAATTATTTTTATTAATGTAATGCTTTATCCTCAGCTTTGGCAACTCGATGCAATTCAAGCGTGGCTTGTATGTGGGCGTTACTGGCGTCGTACGCCTTCTACGGCACGGGTCATCACGCGACACTGGGCCACGTGCGATGGGCTCCTGCCTTCCATGCCGGGGACCCCAACTATCTGGACATTGGACCTCCTATTACCGCTTCTTTGGTCTCACTTGAATTATTCGGTAAGATATTCACACTATATTAACATTTTATTCGCTAGAATTCACTTCACCTAATATTAATATTTTATTCACTGGATTCAGGTGTACGCCGAGTTTTTACCAGATTTGGCTGAATTTTATTGTTTTACAAGTGGGGAGTGGTTATCTTTCCTTCATAGCCTGCTTAGTGACATTACATTTTGTTTAGATTGATCAGGTTTTGAGCCTTCTGACCTGTCGCTGTTTTATCACATGTTGACGTGATATCCGGTTTTCAAAACTAGCATGAGTTTCCACTCTCTATGTTAGGTACTTATAGAAATGGTTTTGTTTTTCTGCAGGTACTATGTTAGCTTTTGGCGCTGCAGTACCTCTCCTAGCGCTATGGGGCCAGAATGGAGCGGCCAAAGTAGGGCCTCGCACGCAGCTAGCCGCCGTCTTCTCCCTGTGCCTGAAATTTATGCTTTGCTTCGCTATTAGGGTAAGTTTGGTGTACAAATACTTGGTGATTTAATCTCGTTATTTCTTTTTTATGAGAAAATGATAAACACGACAGCAAACTTATCCAATTTGATGCTGTTTTTCAAGAATTACATTAAAATTGTATTATACAATTTATCAGGTATTTGCGTGTGCGATCTCAGCAACGATTCACTGCCGTCACCTAATGATTTGGGGTGTCTTTACACCGAAGTTGTTGTTCGAGGCGGGCGCCTGCGCCGCCGCCCTGGTCGGGACTGTGTTCGGGGCCACTCTAGTCGCCTGGCACCTTCCCACACAACACCGCTCTAGTTGACACAAACGGTTACATTAGCTCGTAATTTTAAATTGACTGGATCAATGGGGGCCTCGTTTTCTTACATAAACACTTATAAACATTATTATTCGTTGACACAAGAAAGTGATTGTATTATACTTTCTGTACCTATACATTTTAAAATGACTAGAATAATAAAGTTTTGCAATTAGTACCTGAATAAGTATTCTAAAGACAATTAGGTAGTAATTGTTGTACTGTTGTATACTTGCCTAAATATGGCAAGTTGTTATATAGTAATTTATTCACTATACTTTTGCTTTAGTACTCATATTGTACTCATTATTTTTACCAGAAAAAAAGAAATGTGTTTTGAAAATCTACTGTGATTTTGTGACCCAAAAATATGAGATTCCTTTAGACTATAAAAGGCAATTTGAAAATCATAAAAAATAAGACTATTTTAGTATTTTTTTCCTACAAGGCTGCAACCAAATATTTATTTTACATTAGGGACTGTCTTTACATGAAATTGTTGCTTTCTAAGAAAAATCGAAAGCATTTTATGATTTATCTGCCAAATTACTATGTAAATGTTGATAGTATAGTCATTTAAAATTATGGTCAGATTATATCTTGTCTGAGGCCCTCACATTTTTTGCTTGGACAGACTGTTGTATATTAGAATATAATTGTATTGTTTCGGTTGAGATTATCGAGATATTATATAATGCATGAGAATGTGAAAGACATTTATAATGTTACATTTTATTGGAATGTTTTACTGCGTGAGTTGTAAAGTTTTTTACCAAGTTACGGGTTTACTTTTGTGCTTAATGGTTGTATTAATTTAATCTTTTTATACTTACGATGACGTTATGTCTAAAGCATTTTAATATAATAGATATTAAACATGTATTTTAATATAATTTAAATTATTTGAACAAACACTGCCATAGGCTGTTAGTTGTTATTGAAGGTAATGTTTAAAATATTGTTATTTCATTGATTGTATTAGAAATTAACTTAATGTAGATTCAAACAATCAGTATTTGTTCTAGTTGACATACACTAAATTATAGTTATGTATTATAACTTAAATCGCCATATTTGAAGGATAGAGTAGTGATTTACTAGTTATTCTATTGGCATTATGATTTTCGGTTTTAAATCACTATGATTTTTTTATATTATGATAATAATAAAGATTTTTAGCACACAACCATATTTTATTTTGTAAATAATAAAATAATGATATATTATAACATTTATTTTCTAGAATACTATGACTTTACTGTCAATGTGTGGAGAATATAGTAACAATAGATACAAATTATATCTTCAAACCCCAGAATTATAGAATTGTGGTCACGTAACTGGCAACAGTTTAAATTCAAGCTTGTGACAAATAGCACCTTCACTCACCAAAGATTAATTTAGAAACGAATAATTGAACTGGATATAAAATTCTTTGCACTGAGATAGACACGCACAGTACTGGGCCAGTAATGGGCAGATCACGTGGCTGGTGCGGGCGGCTTGTAGGGGTTCAGCAGGTATTCGGAGAACGCGTTCACAGCGGCGGCGCCTCGAACTTCTTTGTCCAGCAAAGGCAGTTTTGTAACGTGGAAGTCTTCATACAAGTCTGCAATCTGTTCTAGATACTTCTCCTGCACTTTATGTCTCGCCGCGCACAAGTCACACGGCGCCGACGATCGCAGTAACAGCTGGTTGACGATAATGTTGTGTGTGTCAATACCGCATCGCGTCAACTCCTGAACTAGGCGCTCAGTCTCGTAAAGCGAAAGGAACTCGGCAATACAGACACACACAAATGTCGTTTGGTTTGGATCTTTGAATTGAGTGTTCACTTGTCTTATAACAGAAAGCATTTCATCCATTTTGTTGCTAAACATGTCTGAATTGAACTCTGCTAAGCCAAACAGAGTTGCTACTTGGTTGATGAATGGGGCAACCTGAAAATAAACAGTAGTATTAAAATTCCGACCTTAACACAATTGAATAATTAAAGCCAATGTCACATGTAAATTGCCAATTCATTTTGGTACTTGGATGAACCAAGTAATGAATTAAGTTTTTCAATGTTGAGAAGTTCAATTTTAGTTACTGGGTCTTAAATCAATTGTATTATAATCAGAATATGTTCTAATAGACATTGATGGCGGTTCTACCATAGTGCTGCATGCCACTCAAGATTCACCTCTACCTTAGCACATCAAATAACAAAAAAATATATGTTTCTTTGAAAAAGATATGAAGCATAGATTGGAGTCATTTACAATTTTGCTCCAAAAATACAATTCTCAATACACAACATTTAACACTGCCTTGAGCAAGCATGGTGATTAATGCTCAAATTTTCTCTCTCTCTTTCTGTGTGAGAAGAAGCTTTTGCTTAGCAGTGGGTACTTATAGGCTAATGATGATGACGGTGATGAACATTTAAAAGAACTAACCTTAGACTTCAGTCTCATTAGTTTACCAAGTCCTCGCTCAACAACCTGTGGGAAGGACAGCAGACGCAGAGTGTGTCCTGTGGGTGCAGTGTCAAATACTACAGCACTGAAGTTCATACCTTTCACCAGTTTCATAACCTGCAAACAATGCAATCATACTAATTTTGTAATAAATAATGAGAAGCATTTAGTAAAAAAAGAAGTCTGACAACAGAGGGACAAATATTTTTTCTGTCTCTACTTTAAAAACTTGAGTAGAGAATAAGATGCTTATAACTACATATTAATTGAGATATTTTGATTTGATTATCTATAAGAATTTAAGATACTAATATAATCAAGATAAATAATATCTCAAACCAACCAACAATTAAACTATGACACATACATGTGCGCATTTGCGAAGAAAATTACTGAATGAAAAACTTTTCTATTAGAAAATTTTAGGAAAACAACAACAGAGTTAAGCTCTCCTTTATAGGGAGAAACTGATTACATACAACAATACATATATTCGCTATATTTACCTCTGCATAACTCATAGCCTCATCAATACCAGGGAAGGCACCAACAATTTCTTGCATAACTCCTTTGCCTAACCTCATTGCTTCTGTTTCTCCCTCAAAATATTCCTCTGGCAACTCTGTCAGCCCCACATTAGGGTCAATTTCCATTGCAAAAAGGTTATTGAACCCTTTTACTTTTGTTGGCACCTGTAATAAGACATTTATCTAGTACATTTCAGTCTAGACTATACAAAGGAAAAGTTTACAAACAAGGTTTAGGTTAGTTTTAAATTAAACAATTTTGTTAAAGAAAATAAATGAAATTTGATTTTATAATATTCATTTCAATTTAGACAGTTTTGCTATATAGTTTTTTTTAAGAAATATTTAGTGCGATTAACATTTCTGCATAGGCAGTAAAATAATCCAATGCCAATTTTAACAAAAAGAAGTCAACAGAACGATTATTGTTGTGCAGCATGATGAAAAATCATGTTTTATGGTGTGAAAAATTATTACCAGTTCAGTAAATAATCCAATTACAGATGCTAACATACCTTCGAGAACTTTTGGTCGAATGCATCAGAAATGTTATGGGCTGGATCAGTAGAGATTATAAGGACAGACTCTCGCACCTTAGCTAGTTGAACGGCCAGACTACAGCTGAAAATAACAACTTCCATTAGAAATTCATTCGATCACACCGATAATAGCATTGCATTGTTAATAAATTCCTTACCTGCATGTTGTTTTACCAACACCACCTTTCCCTCCCACGAAAATCCACCGCAGAGATGTCTGTTCAACAACATTTTTTAATGAAGGTTCTAAAGTTTCAAAGTCTTTGTTATCTTCCATTTTTACAGAGTATTTAATTTAACCAAATTATTAAATGTACTCCAAAACTCGGGTCGAAAATCGTAAACGTAAATTTTTTGACGTAACGTGACGTGTGACATGCGCAATTTGGGATGATTCGCTTGAATTGTCACTGTCATTCATTTAGGTGGTATTTTTTTAGGTAAAAAGTATTCTATTCTTTTTTTTCAATGATTTTCAAGCCTGGATAATTATTTAAACTGCTAGTAAAAATGATAGTAATGTAATGGCTACACAACTATTATTAGACTAGCAGATTTTGCCAATAAAATGGCAATGGATGGACCATTGCCATTTTATTATAATATATTAAATAGGTAAATGGCTTAAAAAACTTGTATCCAGGCCATAAACTCAAAAAAAAGGTAAATGGCAACACTTTTCATAATGTCAAAACAAAGTGCTGTTTCAGGAGATTGTAAAAATATGAATTCGATTTTCGATGAAAATAAATAATCGGTGTGCTGTAATGACTGAAATGTGCCAGTTCATAAATGAAAATAATGCTCTATCGTCTTTTCCGCGGTCGTTTAACGTTCAAGTTCTATATAGTTTTCACAATATTAGTAGCAGTCTCGATATGTTGTTACTTGTTTCCGCAGATCTATCCAATTTCTCCAGTAACTGTGTCTCCAAATCCATTGCATCCTCGTTCCTCACGACATTTATCTAAACTGATGACTGTAGTTTTCCGCCAATTTGAGGATTTTGAAAATGACATCGCTGATAGCGTGCAATCTTTTGTATCAGCCTTCCCAAATATGCCAGTCGTGGTGGTATGCGAGAGCACACCTTACCCACCGTTTCCATTCTCTGTGACGAATGAGACTCTGCGAAATGTGAAAGTTCTATCGCTGGAGTTAAAGCTTACTGCTTCGCCACAAGACTTCAATCCTTTGACGCAAATATTTACCGAGTATGTGTTATTTGTACCTGATTCAACGAGAGTGTCGCGTCGCGTACTACAGCTAGCGATGGCAGCAGCAATGGCCAGCCCCACACAGGCTGTAGCTATAGGGGTTGGAAATTCCCACTTAGTATGTCAGCATGTGAAATGGAACTATGCTGATTGGACTCTCCAGTACAGTAAAGATGCCTCAGGAAAGATTTGTGACGCTGTTCATGGACAACATGCACTGCTGATTAAAACTGCTGTATTGCAGAAAGTACCACAACCCTTCGCATTGCCATTCCCTGAGTCATTATATCTACAAACTTCAGTCAAAAATGTTAAGGTAAACTAAAAATATATATATGATCAGCTGTTATTGTTGGACATATCAATTTAAAATACAATTTTACATGTCAGTTCATGGGGATTCATCATTATTAACATCAGCACAAAAAAAGTTGAACACAGTTTATAAACTTGACTATTATTTTAAATAAAACTTATAATAATATACACTACCATATCTATTTTTCAGGTTCAATTGTCTGATGGCAAACTAAGTGCTGGTCGAGGAGTATTGAAGACACCAGGGGCAAAGCAGAGGGCATCTCGTCACATGAGAGATTATAGAGTGGCTCTGTACAAACAGCTGGGAGTAAAGGCAGTTGTCAGGGAGGATGGCAGAGTGCAGTGGTTTGGGTGTAAGAGGGAGACACAGGTTAGAAAAATATATTTGTGCCTACCTACCTAACAGATCTTATAAATTTGCCCTGGCAAATGGATTAGTTGGATTACCACTGATAAAAAAGAGGGGTATTATTATACAGCTGTCCAAAATTTGTTCTTCACAGGCATTAATTCTCAGACAAATTCCTCATTTACTTAAAAAATAAAAATCTATAAATTATATCTCATTTTGTACATCAAATTAGGGTGATATTCTAAATTTAAAACTATATTTTATACACAAACCTGTGTATTATGTCATATTGATTATCATTTCATTTTTTTTTTATTTTGATTAACATTCATGTAACACAGCTATATTTAATAATTTGTTCATTGATACCCAGCGCTGCTACCCATCAGTGCAAGGCACACCATCATACATACTGTCAGGGCGCAACACGCCACCATGTTGTCGCCGTAACATGCGTCGTGTTGCGGGTCACGTATTGCGCGCTTTGCTGCAAGCAGGCGCGAGATGCTGGCTGGAAACTACTTCTCTACTTGGTGCTGTTATGAGGTACTTCTTAACTATAGTTTCTTACAAATATAGGGATGTTATTCTTTTACATAGTATGGATATGACTTGGACCAATAATCAGTAAAGGACCAAGAGATTTTTGTTATTTTTTATCTTTTTGAAAAAAATAAATGTAGAGTATTATTATTATTTGGTGTGGGTATTGATAGCTGATTAAATAAGCTCTCGATTTTCAACATAATTATTATTAATATCAGTAGCAGGTTCGCAGTACCAGACTAAAAATTAGCCTATCAAACTTACTGTGTGAATTTCATACAAATCTCTTCAGTAATTTATGTGAAAGAGTAACAAACATCCATCCATACTTACAAACTTTCGGCCTTAAAAATATTGGTAGGATTTAATGCCTAACAAACAAAATAAATATTACAGGGGCGACATCCTGCCATGGGCGGAGTACGTGGAGATTGGCATCCATGCTTCCGATGTGTCTCGCGTATCATGGCTGCAGCGAGGCGGCGCAGATGCCGACGGGTTTGTCTGGGAGCGTGCGACTAAAGGACATTACTACAGGGTGGCTTACTCTGCGGCTAATCGCGTCTATGTCCTGATACTGCCGTTCACAGCAAGGAATGGTACCATGTGGCCTGCAGACTGGGTGCTGGCTCATCAGAGAGAGTTCCCAGAGAGGCATCTGCATCCTTTAGCACAGGTGATTTAGAATAAATAATAGTTTGACCACAATAATAAAAAAATACACATCAACATGTAAATCTCCTCAGATTTTTTTAACATATTATGTTACTAATAGATATATACTAGATCATTTTTTGGCGTTAAAGTAGTCAACTTATTGATTGTAGCTGAAGAAAGCTTTGTGATAGTACTTACTTAAACTACTAAGGGCAAAGTTTTCAATAAATGTAATCTGAGGAATAAAATTGTTGCTGTCACTGTCTTATGAACTGAACATTCTGACACGACAGCATCATAATTATTCCCTATAAAGGTGTAAATGTAATAATTTTTATTTTAATTCTTTCAGATTACTTTCGCGGGTCGTCAAGCACCAGCTCCGAATGATGCTAGAGCTTTTCTGGATCTGAAATTAGGTTCCAATGCAGTGGAGCGTTGCGACAAACTTGGACCTAAGTTACTCTATCCTTAAGTTAACAGCAGCCTTGCACAAAACACTGTTTTACACTAGTCATTAATAGTATACAAGAATATAGGGACACAAAAGAGGTCGTTGTTAAAAATATTATAGCATTTTATTAATAAGTTGTCTGTCTGAAATGAAAAGAATCTCGTGATCGCGTTTATCTTTTTTATTATTATTTTTGAGTGAGCTGTTTAAACATATAAATGCAATATTGCGTGAGTGCTAGTCACTAGTTTTAAGATATCAGTGAATAACTTTCTGTGTTCTATTTTAATTGTTGTCAAACTTTTTTTTAAATCTTGATAAACTTGTTTAAGTACTATATAGAAGAGCAGTTTTGTATATAAATACAAATTAGTTAAATTATCACAACTAAATTGATACATAAAAATATTTTGAGATATCATTAAGATAGATAAGAATAAAAAAGTCTAAGAGATTATTTATAAAAAGAATCGGAGTACGAAATTAAATTAAGTAGTAATAACTACTTATAAAATCTAGTTATTTAATATTAAGATTAATTTTGGAATTCTTGTGATGTAGTAGTCTAGTCGAATTTGCTAATACAATACACTAAACAGTGATCTATTGATATTCTAGTCTCAAAATCTTTTCATTTACGAATATAGTTCTTTATGTTTAAGGATTATTTCAGTTTGCTAAGCAGCTGCGGCGTTTTGTCGCTTTTATTGCATAAAAATATATTGCTTTTTTATAGCGTCTATGGTCGGCAGTGAAACTCACAAGCTTACTACGTACAAACAGGCCATTAAAAAATGGCGTCCATTAAAAATGGCGTTGTTTCCTTTTTTGAGAGTTTATCCAAAGTGCATTTTTAATATGTGCCTTTATTTTTAGGCACTTTCATTGTATTAGTTTAAGTTTAAACTTTAATTTTCAAAGCTTTATTAGAATAATTAATACAATAAAAGTAAATAAAATGTGTTTTATTTGTAAAATTATAACTAAGAATACATTATTATTTTGTGGGCACATGCGGTATGTTTCAGTCGTCTTCAAACTTCTCGTCGACTACTCCTGTTTGGAATGGCGGATCTCGAACTAAACTTAGGAGCTTATCCAGTTTCATAATCTAATAAAAACAAATATATAATTTAATGAGGAAGTCATCTAGCATTGACGTTCGTAGACTGATGTTAGCGTTTTTATTATTTACATAGATTTCTAGTTAATTTAGTTACCTGTAACGTCCGTTGATCAACTCCTTGGGCTTTTTTCGGCGGTTTACACATTACTCTTAAATTCGGCGATAACTTCAATACGTGACATGTTCCCCTAGAAAATGTACAAAATAATGTCAAAAACATCGGTAAAACGTAAAAAAGTCGCAAAAAGCGAAAATACAAAAAGTTCAACTCAATGCCCCCAGAGAGATTTGAACTCTCGACCCCTGGTTTACAAGACCAGTGCTCTAACCCCTGAGCTATGGAGGCTATGAGAGCAATGTCGAAATAGTGAATAGCATACTGTAGCAAAAATGATAGAAAAGGACAACACTATAATTTCTAAGAATTGTTTACAAGATGTTTGATAATACATTTTACATGTTTTTTAAATTAGAATCTTTAGTATCAATTAGTACATAACATGATTAGTTACAATATTTATATCTTTTGTACCTAGTAATTAAATAAATATACATAACTGTTATGATCATATTTTAATTTATGACGAACGTTTTTGTTTTATTTTTATAAGGTCCTAAGTACCTTAGCTCTCTTGTACTGACTTAAGAGGTGTGGTGGCGCCATCTATGAGCCTAAGTCCTGTACCCTTTTCTTGTTGGGTAACATGAAAGTATGTTTTTTCACAAAACACACTAAAGTAAAGTTGTACCTCAAAGGTACTGCGTTCTGTTTATTCTTCGATTTATAAGGACAATAATAATATTTAATAAGGAAATTTGTAAAAAGTTTGGTTACTTGGTATCTCCGCAGACGATGACTGGCAGTTTTACATTGAAGTCGACCCTGGAGAGTTTCTTTGTTTTCTTAGAGACAACTGCTTGAACACATATCGGTCTGTATTTGTCCACATTCAAGTCATAAACGTATACCTGAAGAAATAAAAGTAGAAAGCAAATGAATAGTGACGATATTTTCCTTGAAACGTAGGTTGCTTATTTCCGGATTTAAACGACAGGTTTAGGTATAATAATAATTAAGGAAGGTCGAATAGTAAGTAGTATTTAAATTTTGGAAACGAATTTGGGTGGTTTATAGTCAGTAGGGGGCGTCCTAGACTGCCATATATCACATATTTAAAAGGGGTCAAATTTAAAGCAACCTCATTCAACGATAATTTGCGAAAAAAGGTTAATTTAGATTGTCAGAATCGTGTCATTTGGCGTTCAATTGTCTTATTCTCCCCAATGGTAGACGTGCTTAAAGATTTACATGTAGGTAAGTAGGTAGGTACCTATGTATGGATACCTATTAAGATATACTTTAAACTTTCGCGTTGCATAGTACTTTACTTTTTTAAATCCCGTAACACAGTAAAGTATGGATATTAAGTTTCCCACACTATGTCTATGAAGTTTCCTTATCCAAATCCACCATAGTCATTGATAATTTTTTTTCAAGTACCTACCTATAGATCTATCTATAGATTTTGATGACAACTTTAATTTTCTCTTCTAATTATAAGTTTTGAACACAAAAGTTATAGGTTTACTTACTTATATATGGTTTTAAACCAGTGTGATATTTTATGCTATCAGATAGGTTGGTATAGAGAGTGAAACAACTCAAGGATATTAACCTACTTGTGTGGACGTAAACGTATCGGTATCACCATAGTACCTACCTACCTATTTGTGAGAGCGGATATTGGATTTTTGATATTCCTTCAGTGTTATGGCGACGACGTTCGAATTTCAAGGAAGCGTTATATTTTTAGACACTACATTTCTCCGAAGTTCTTAAGTAGGTATGTTTCCAATCATAGAAGTACTTTTTTTTATTCATATAAATTAGTGATTGACTGCAATCCTAATTTATGGCAAGCAGTGATGCAATCGTTGATGGTACGGCGCACTAGTTTATTATGAGCCTATTCATGCCAGCCTAGAGTGAATAGGTAATATGAATAGATAAGTACTTCTTTCTAATTTCAAACCTTAATTATTCTTGCTTGCAAAATGGCTTAAGTAGATACTTTTTTATTTTTTATTTTATTTTATTATAAAAGGTTCACCAACAATTGTTTACACAATTTCAATTATGAAGTACCTACATGCTTAACAAAAATATTAAAGTGTAACAATCACTTAAAGGTGAACACCACTTGCTTAAATTAATATCTATCAAACCAAAAAGGGAAGAGAAGCTAGATAGAACTTAAATTAACCCAGAAATTACAAATAAATATCAAACCAAAAGTGAAAGAGAAGTTACCTAGATAGAACTTAAATTAACCCAGAAATTACACATGATAACGATAGAAAAACTAGCGGTGACCCGGCAAACGACCGAGATTGATAGATACCTACCTATATTGTTGATATTGTGAATTTTTTTCTTTGGTAATCTCGATTAGGTAGTTTTGAGACTATTTGGATCGGGTTAAGGTGTTTCCATTTCGGAATTTTTGGAAAATACTTATAGGTGTAGCTAAATATGATGTATCTACCTATAGAGTCTGTAATTAATCCCATTGTTTCAGAATATAGTAATGTATCTAGCTGGATAATAAAGTGAGTAGGTATGTAGTACCAAATTTCTCGATATCTCGACTCGAGTTTAAGCTAAATGATAAAATGGTCAGAGTTGGTTTATCTTTTATTACCTTGCCATCAGCTGTACAGGCTGCGAACACTGTACTGGAGTAAGGAGCCCACTTCACGTCGCCTACTGGAGAGCCAAGTTCAAACATGAAAAGGGGCTCACTGTTGTAAAAGAAAGAAGAAGGCATTATTTTAGAGTGAAATGTATGTAGAGTCGTGTGTTCAGATATTGAGATTTGTTGCATTAAGCGTTGTGTGTAAATTCACTGATTAAAAGACATGAAAACTATTTTTTTCCTTTTTTATAAAACGTTTCTCCAAACTAGGATTTTCTGATGTGTCGTGTGTGCTTTTACAAACATACACTAGCCATCCAGACCAGAAACAACCATTTCAGGATCACATAAGTTTTTGGTCTGTGCGGGAATTGAACTCGCGACTCGTTGCACAGCTGCCAGATGCCCAGCCACTGCGCCAACCATGCAGTCATAACATAAGTAATTATTTAAAGATCGACTGTTCCTTAGTGCAAAGAAGACTTAATTTTGGATAAGGATTTTTCAACCATTTTTCAAAATTGATGACGTTACGTCAGAATTGCGACTCGAATAATAGAAGCCAAAATGCCGCATCTACAACAAAAAAGGTGTAAGAAACTTACTCCCTCCCATCCTCCCAAATCTTGACTCTCCAATCACCAGAGCAGGAGGCGTAGATGCTGTTGTTGAAGTTGTTATAATGGATCCTATAGACGGGCATATGATGGCCCTGGATGGAGCGCACGTAGTTACGGTTGTACTTGAGGGAGCAGGTGTGGATCATACCGTCTTCTGTGCCCACCATGAAGATCTCCGACTTTTCGGGGTGGAAACAGATGCAGCTGCCGCAACCTGTTCGAAGTTATTGACAGGTAGATTATGGGACATACGATTTTATTGCGACTTACGATTATGTTGCTACAGTTATTGTCAGTGTACGTAGAAAAATCTTGGTTGTTCTGCAAATATTAAGAAGAAGAAGAAGAGATATATAGTGTGGTAGAGACATGCTTCGGTCCTTCGGTACCCGACGTGATACCACGGCCTCACAGAAAACCGATGTGAAATAGCCATAGCGTTGTGTTACAACGCCCGAGTGAACTGACCGGGGGCCTCTCCCCCCTAAACTCCTTATCCCCAAAATGCCGGCAACGCATTAGCAACTCTCTATTGTTGCTTACCATAACCTGATCCGTCTCCTCCTTTACCACCGTATCACACAAAAGATCAAATATTTACTTGCATGAATACTTATTGGTTAAAAAAAGACGTTTGAGAACTGTCTATAACATGTAGCGAAAGAACAGCTTACTGGTAACATTGAGCATGGTCCCATCAGGTCCCGGTATCGGGGGCACGCTGGAAGTCAGCGTGATGATGGTGGTGGCTTGCAGCTCCCCTGGCATCACCGCCCATTGCACAACGCGACCATCACCAGATATGGAGAAGAATGAGGGCTCCCCATCGATCAGACGTGGTCCCCAACGAATCTTTGAGTTAGAAAGTGTCACTTATGTTAGTAGTTTGATAAAAATAAGTGACGAGGATGATGATGATGTTAAAAATTAATGCATTAGTGATAGTTTGTTAGTTTTTAGCTTTATGGCACACTTGTACTTTTGTCTTAACTTTCTGGTCTACATCTATACGTAATACTGCAGTCGGTGATGTGATTGGTGGAGCAAAATATACCACAATTGATAATACGAAAACGATGGATTATTTTTTATAAATAGTAAACGTGCGAAAAACAGAAATTGCTTTCGGAAACTTAAAGCTCTTAAAATAAAATCTTTTTAAACAAGCTAGCCTTCTGCAAAGTCTAGTGATCCGAAAGAAAAATAAATTTAATCGATTATTTGTATTTCTAATAGTGAGTTTGGACATTTGGAGTTATAGTGGCAAAATAAACGAAACGGGAATGGAAGTTTCTCGTTGAATGTAAAAACTATTGAGCACTTACCTCCCAGACTATGTTGCTGTGTTTATCCCGTACCGAATTAGATTTGTACTGATATGATGATTCCAGTGATAACTGAGCGTTGTACACGCACACATTACCGTCGTAGAGTCCTGTGGTAGACAGATTGAAGATTTGAAAAAAGGAATGAAAGTAATCAGAGAATACCACCGAACAAAATAGCGTTAAATACTGTCCGTATTATCGGAAAGTTTGTTTACATAACACCATTTTTTGATTAAGTAGGTATACAAGAGTAATTTAGGGCTCGTTTTCATTATCGTTTATACGTATTTTTCAGCTTTAGACCATATACTTGAGCAATAGGTAACAAACTTTTATCATGTTCATACTTTTTTCTTGAATGGGTAAATCATCAAATGGCTTGAGAGAGTGTTAGACCATCTCTGACACTCTTTCGTGTAAATGAGGCTTAGGTAAATATTTATATGTCACATGTGCCTTAGATTTAGATATAAATTCCGTTGCTAAACGGGAAAACCCGGTTGACTAAGAAGGTATAGTTTTTTGTGACAGCTCTCTATCTGGTAGCTATATTTACTAGTAGGTATCAAATGTGCCATATTTAAGACCTAGATGAGAAGTAACAAAAAAAAATCAGATTAAAATGAAAAGTATTGTAAATATTTAAAGATATAGATGTGGTCTCGTACCTAAAACAAAATGTAAAGAGAAGAAAAACCGATGACTCATTCGATAGCATACCTAATCGATTAACAGCGTTTATACAATCGATTAAAATACGATAACTGACGTTAAAAAACAGCAACGTGTTTCGAGATAAATAAAAATGTACATACTTATTTGTTGCTGACAAGGTGTTCTTTATCACTTTTACAAAATTATTTGAAACTATTCTTGTTCTCATGTATGGTGACTCAGAGGATAAACAGATAGCTATAATTATTCATAATGCAATCTATAATCTTTCGTAATATTGTAAATATATCAATAGATTTTTGTTCGCTTTACGCTCCAGCCGCTTCAGGTAGCTCTCTCGGGTGGCGGGGACCACGCTGTGATCTTCGGCCACCGTAAACACGGGTCTGTAGACGGCGAGCCAGGGTAGCTCGTGGTCCGACTAGAACTAGACTCAAGCATAACGAGGGTCGCGTTCGACGAGCACTTTTAAGAGCCATCAGTCCACCATTGACCATAGATGGCGCCATAAGAGCCCAGCGAGGGTTTCGGGTTCAAGCACAAAAATTTATTGCAGCCTAGGTCCGGAGCAGGAGAAGGAATGAAGTGGTTTTTTGTTATTCTGAGTCTGAAGTTTCCTCTCGACCCACCTTTAGGTGATTCAGAAATGACTCCCCTCTGTTGAGAAGTCATTTGATGATTCTCCCCCTATGATGCCATATAATAAAACAAAGCCATGAAATTTAGACATAGAATAATTTATGAAACGATGGATTTTTTATATGGAACGATTATGTATGTATAATATTTATTCTGCATATAAAATCTGCTTATAAACTGAGTGGTACAAAGTTCAGAATATTTTTGATTGAATATAGACACGTTTTTGTCGTTTTAGACTTTAGTTAAAGGGTACGATTGTCATGGACTATGTAAATAAAAGCCCTACTCGTAAGCTAAAAACATCGGCAACTTAGCAAGAATGCTGTGCCGCTGCACTATTATAACATACTCTAAACTGTGTATATAGCTAGACCAAAATTAGCCAAATCGGACCAGTAGTTTTCGAGATTTAGTGAGGCTAACGACAGCATTTCGTTTTTAAATATAAGGATAAGTAATTAGAAATTATTTTTTATACATAAGAAGATTTTAATATTACGGATAAGCGATTGTCAACCCCAATGACACTTACCAACACAGATGAGGTAAGGTATTTCCTTGTACACGTCGAGGCAGATGACAGGCGACTCCGTGATCACCGCGTACTCCGGGTACGCTGGGTTCTTGATACTGTATAGGCACAGGCAGCCCACCTTCTGTTGCAGGGTAAAGTCCACTGTCGAGTAAAAAAAATATACTAATGCGAGCTTAAATGAAACGGGTATAAGCCTATATTTATAAGTAAGTACCTATTACGTTGTCCAAAGATAAGTTGGACAATGAGTATAAAGAAATAGTATTGTGAGACAATAAATTTGTTGTAAATACCGACTTACTCACGTGAATAAACGAGAAAAGTTTTACTAGTTCACAAGTCTCAACGGGACTTATTTTCATGCAGCAGCGTGCGCGTCGCGGCGTCCTCATTCAGTGGGTTGCGCGATGTCGCAGTGACAATTCTTTTTCGTTCTTGACAATTCATGTGAGTAAGTTGTTATTTTATATTTTAGTATGAAGAATGTAGGATGGACATGCAACGAAGCGATGTCGTCGTTGAAATCCTCCTCCGAGTTTGTTTTGTGTAGTTCTCTCTAACTGGTATTTGAGAGATAAGATCCTATAATATTTGTGTACCTATTAGTAAGCTCGTAAAAACTATTTCGAATGAAGGTGGCGTAGAAATGTCTTCAGGTACTCTAAAAACTAATTGCACTGTATGATACTACCATAATAATATGCATAAATATGAAACTATCCATCGATAATCCAATTACAAAGCCTTATAGGTAATGTTACCTATAATATTGCGTTAAGCTAATAAGCCTTCCTTTAGAAAAAAATACGGTCCGGGGACAAAGAAATAAATAAATAATGTGATACCTTGACGCCCGGGTTCCGAAAGGCCGATCAATGTTAAAATAAATTTAATCTCTTGTCAAGTCATCTGATTGGTTGCTGATAATTCAGATTTAACAGGAGATTAGTTAATTTTAGCGTTGACAAGCCTTTCAGAAACCGGGTGTTAGTCTATTACATAGATTTAAGGCGAATCTGCCAGCTCTGAATCTAGTTCATGCAAGTCTCTTAGCGTATCCTATTTCCTTTAGAAATCCAATCTTCCTCTTCATGTCTGGGTCAGTCCTATCATCTAATACTAGCATTAGTATCCTCACTTTTCTAACACTCCACTCAATTAGATGATTACCCTTTCGGCAAGCTGTTACGATCAATTGAGGAAAATATACACACGAGTATACGATCCTCCATCTTGTTTCGCCCGTATGGCGAATCGCCCTTGATGTGCCTTGGGAATGTTTTGGGTAGCTAAGCGATGATAGTGTTAATACCGGACTGTCTATTGTCCTGAAGGTTATTTTCTTTCTATGTTTCTCTGTATACACGCGTTACACTGTTCTCACATATTCAAACCAACTAAATAATGTATAAGAATCTTTATGTGACACTGATTTTAAAAGAGTATCCATTGAGTTTCTTGCTCGTTCTCCTCCATCGGAATCTACACTTTGGAACGAGCGAATAGCTTCACTAAGAGGACTGACCGACAGACTGACACTTTATATCTTTAAAATTTTGTTTGACGTTCAAAAGTGCCTGTATGGGTCTAATTGAAATACATGATTTTGACTTTGACTTTGACTTTGACTTTGACTTTGACTTTGACTTTGACTTTGACTTTGACTTTGACTTTGACTTTGACTTTGACTTTGACTTTGACTTTGACTTTGACTTTGACTTTGACTTTGACTTTGACTTTGACTTTGACTTTGACTTTGACTTTGACTTTGACTTTGACTTTGACTTTGACTTTGACTTTGACTTTGACTTTGACTTTGACTTTGACTTTGACTTTGACTTTGACTTTGACTTTGACTTTAATATGGTTTGTGCAATAAAGGGCATGAGATATGGAGTCTAGCAGATGAATATGACCTAACATTGAACCTGATCTATGTTCGGATTTGGATGGATATTAATAAAACTAGACATCAATTTTAAGATTTGCATTAAGTGATCATGTATACAGATGCCTTGTATCTAATTGTTTGAATAGTTAAATATAAATTGTTTATTTTTGTTTCAGTTTCCAGACAGCGACTAATTGGACCAACTTCCCTTTGTATAAACATTAAAATACACAATATATATCTAATAATATATATTATATATACAATATATATCTATCATTATTTACTTAAGCGATGAGTTACAAAATTGTTGCTTCATTTTCGGTTATTGTGAAAACAAATGATCCAGAAAATACAGTGTGTTTATAAAATTGTGTAACACAACGATCCCGAGGTCGTATAAGATCGGCTATCTTCGGCAAACGTCGTTTCTCAAGTCCCATTGTTGCTACATGGCGATACTCAATGTTCTCAAGTGTCTGCCGGCATTCAGTACCTATTGACTATCCGTCGCCATCCCAATTGCTTCCTATTCAGATCGTGACTTCAAACTGTTTTGGGACGCTGAATGAGATAAATGGGATTATCTTGATTTATATGGGTGAATGAATGGATGTGCTGGTGTGATGGGAAAATGGAAGTATTGTTCGTTGCAGATCTTAGTGTGCGAAATGTTTCAGCTAGAATGGACCGACTCGACCGGAATTACGGCCTTACAAAAAATCAGCACGAATAGGCGTTTTGGTTCGCCGCGCGGGCGAGGTTACCGTAAGGCCCAACGTTTCCCTCCTCCTGTCGTTTTCCAATCCCTAAATCCCCAAAACCCCGTGTACGGTCCTAAAAGCTGGCAGCGCACGTCTAACTCTTCTGGGGATGCGGGTATCCATTGGCGACGTTGATTGTTTACCTTAATTTTATATATATTGCTACCGTACCAAATTTAAAAATAAGTGTTTGAAATATTACATTTAGTAGGGAAAAAAACAATTATTGATATCAATTACGCATAATTTTCAACACATTTACTTCGTATCGTCATTAAAACATGTTGTCAATAGAGTCTTTTCCAGTTACCACTAGGTACTTCCTAGAATTGAAGAAGATAAACACTTCTACGAAATGACTTACACGATCCGTAAGCGACAGCAAACAGATCTTGATAGTGTGGGTTCCATTGTACATCACAGACAGCGTGGCTCCGCATGGGTTCGAATTGAAACTTCCAGAGAGGCAGCAAGGAGCCCATGCCTTCACGGAACTCATCCGAAGGATCGTCCCAATAACGGTAGTCTTGAGCTGTTTTAAGAAGATGGGATATGAGGCCGAGATAGTCTTTTGTTTTGCTGTTGGAATGATTGTTTACATAACTAAGCCTTAGCATGAATGGGTCGGCTCAACCAGAGCAATACCACGGTCTCACAGAAAATGGGCGTGAAATTACCACAGCGTTGTTTCGCCGTGTGAGTGAGGTTAACGGAGGCCCAATCTCCCCTCCCCATCTCTTCTTAATCATTAAATATCTAAAACCCTTATCCCCAAAAGTCCACAACGGACTCGTAATATTTTTGGTGTTGGGCGGCGCTGATTGCATACCATCAGGTAATCCGCCCGTTCGTTTGCCGACTTATCCCTTGCCATCCATCTAAAATGCTTAACTTTACATTATGCGTTGGAGCAAAGTTGGAAAAAAGAACGTGTGATCCAGTTTGGTTCGTAATTCGTAGAGTTGAAAAATTGTAAAGTTGTATTACCAATATCATCGTAAATATTCTGGTTAACGAGTCTCTCAAGGATGGCCCAGGCTTCTCGGATCCTCTGGGCCAGCCGTTCGTCGTGGATCTGCTGCTCCGACTTCGCATGTTTGGCTTTCTTCTTTCTCAGCTGCAAAATGAGAAACGATATGGAAGATTCGTAAAATCTTCGAGAATACTGATAAATACTTTAAACGAAAAGTTTGTTTGGAAATCCTATGCGTTTCACATGCAAAGCAAAAGTTAAGTCAGCAAGTTTGCAATTTTTGTATTTTTTAAACGTTTATTGATTTTAGGGGCGTATTTGCAAAAGAGGTAAGTTTTCATTTTTGTTCTTACTTTGTTATTTATTTTGTATTTCATAAAATAGATACTAACTTAAATATATAACATAAAATAGATATTTTACTTGCAAGACAAATAGGCCATTCTAGTGAAATAACATTTGCTTTCACGATAAATATTTACCTGCTTAGATAATAATCTCGTGACAAAAACGAGATACGAAATTCAAATGTGACAGCCGACTCCATGTTTTTTAGGTTATGAAACCGCAAAAAATGTCAAAAATAACGAATTCTTTTTGTGCTATTCAAATAATTGCTTTGCATGCTGTACTGGTCTGTTCAACATTAAATATAGATAAAATATAGAACAAACAAACACATTAACATGAAGACGTTATACTAATATTTGTTTTAAATGTATTATTATTGATATTAAGTTAGTAGTTGTGAATGGAAAAGTACTTGCTATTCCTATTTTCTACGATACCTACTAATATGAATTTAACACTACTTACAACAAATATTCAACTTAAAAAGACTAAATAAGAGCTCTAAAATGTCTGAAATTCGATATAATGTGTTAATTTCCAACCGAACACAATTGTAGTTCGTGATTTATTAATCATGATATTTATAGACTAAACCGCCTGCGAGAAAATCTCTTAAGAATTGTCTTGTGAAAATTATCTACACGAAAAGTTTCAATCTTTCTGTATCTATTCTTGTAATTATAACAGATGTCCTAACAGAAAACGAATGTAACTCTTATATACAGAACTGCTTTATACCTACAATTTCTTGTAAAAATTACCCTTTTAGGCTTTTCTTCTTCTTTTTCCCTCAATTTCCTGGCGTAATCTTCTTGATAGTAGTCGAAAATGATGCATTGGAGCGCTGTAGCCCCGAAGTTGGCTCTTGGCGGCGGGATTGTTTGGGTCTCGACAGACTATAAACATATTAAACATTCAGATTACGAGTTGTTCTGAAGTATTTGTGGACAAGCGTGCGAGGCGGCCGCCCGTCTAGTTACAACCGCCATTCCCGAATAGAAGTAGTCTCGGGATAACGTCTAAAAAAAAACTAAAATAAGTGGATTTTTCTTTGTAAAGTGTTGACTGTTGAATGTGTTACAACTATTATGAAGATATTTTTACTGAACTGTGAGTAAAAACTAGTAAGTATTAAACTGTTTTGATGTCGAAAATATTTTGGTGAATGTTTTTTTTTATTTGCGTAGCGTAGGCAGCACTATCTACGTCGTGGATGTATTTATTTATAAATACGTTGAGTGCATGTCGGTCGATACGTTTCGTTAAAGATTAAACGTATCGTGGTGTGTTGATGAAAATGATATTAAAAGATAGCGGTAGGTACATATATGAATGGTGTGAAGTTAATTAGAAAGATATAATTACTTTTCTCTGTAAGTGGCATGGAAATATAAAATTAGTATTGTTAGTGCCTAGTAGTATTTTGTAGTTATTTGTTGATTCACTGTATATTTGTTACTAGCTTTTGCCCGCGACTTTGTTCGCGTGGTATAGTGACTTCCTGCTGATTTTTGGTTTAAAAACTATCCTATGTCCTTTCTCGAGTTCAAAACTATGTCTGTACCAAATTTCACACAAATGGGTTCAATAGTTTAGGGCGTGAAGAAAAGACAGACAGACATATAGACAAAATTACTTTCGCATTTATAATATTAGTTTGGACTTGGATTAAAAGTAGACCTAGAGCTAAAGATTTAGACAGCGTAATTACATAAAAAATACTTACGTTCATTAGGTATATAATTTATTTACGTCGTCTATGTAATCTAGAGTTTTAGTTGAAAATTTACTGTTTAGATATATTTTCTTGGATATTAAAGTCGATAGTGAATATCACAAAAACATTCTTATTTTTGCTTTTTATCTAAGTACTTACGCGTCATAGACAAGAAATAATAACGTGTGTGATACTGAAATAATTATTTAATAATAATATGTAACGTAATTGTATGAATACTCGGAAATCATATTCTAATCAAAATAATTATTGTACAAAGTCTTTTCTGTTGACGCGTCAATGAATTTTAGCTATCGTGTTATTAGAAATATGTATCTCATCATACTTCATCTCTTTGGATTTGAAGAGCCCATTGTAATTTTTTTGCTATTTATTAATTTAATTGTGGCACTAGGCACTCAGTGTTTATGAAAGAAACTCCCTAAGGTATCTATCTAGCTAACTTAGAAAAAAAATAGCCACACGGAAAAGCTAGTAAAAAAATACACCTATCGTATTGTCAAAGAAGATAGTACTAGACTAAATAGGATGTAGCTAACTTAGAAAAGAAAATAAACATACGGGAGAACTAGTAAAACAAAGATATTGCGTATTGTCAAAGAAGGAAGATATTTGAATGGTAGAATCGTTGCGTCATAATATTGAACAAACGGTTTATACTTTGAAAACAAATCTCGCCCTACGAGTATATTAGGAATATCCGGTACCAACTGACTGATAAACAAAATTGTTATTTAGGTCCATTTTTTATGTGATTGGACGGCAAACGAGCTTAAGGATAACCTGATGCGCCACCCGTGGGCACTCAGAACAAACGGAGTAGTTACGAGTGCGTTGCCGACCTTTTGGGGATTAGTGATTTAGGTAGATTGGGGAGGGGAAGGATTGGGCTTCCGTCAACCACATTCACACGGCGAAACATAACTCTGTGATTGTTTCACACCGGTTTTCTATGGTTACTATAATACACTAGCTTCGGCTAGTTATTTAGCCCGCAGTATCAGGCTTTGAAGAAGCCTATGAGTTGTTCCAGATTTTAATCTATGCTATGCCAAATTTGATCAGCAGTATTTTCTTGAATGAGATAACATGCATCAATTCTACTTACAAATTTCCGCGTTTTTTATATATTTATACCTATAAGGAGGATCCAAACACTTACACTGCAAACTTTAACAATAAACGAATCTCGCATTTCTTATCTGGGATAAATTCTCTATCGTTGGAAGTGCGTTCAGACTGTTTTATGTTACTGCTTTATATCATCGATGAGGTGTTTCTACGGTAGTGGCGGCTTAAACAAGTGCAGAACTAATTGACAACATAACGAGGTTTGATTGCCGCTAACTGAGAAAAGTTATTTAGTGTTTTTTTTTTCGAGGGATGAAAACAAAGAGGATATAACCACGGTGTAAATCATCTAGTGGCTTCTCTCGCCATAGACGCAGCGAGAGAGAGTGTCAGAGTCTTAACCCGCAACCCTGACAAATAGTCTAATGTTGTAAGTTACAAAGTTATCTGTATTGAATGTTAAAGTAAGAAAGAAAGAAAGACAAAATTTATTTGTCAGAATATAGTACTTACAAAACAAGTAACACATACAATCCGGTCTTATCTGGTATATTATTTGTTTTTCTGGTAAATAAACAATATTTTTGTGTGTTTAAGTCCTTAGCTAAAACCATTTCAATAGAAATATAAGGCTTTGAGCTTACTCACGGAAATGATAATCCGGTGATTTGAGGATTGGGGTAAGAAGGGGAAGGAATTGGGAATTGGTTGCATGTTATTGTTATTCAGTTGTGTCGTCAAAAAAGCAACTTTGTAATTACGCTTTTCAAAGGGAGAGGCACATCACTCAAACGGCTTAATACAACGTATGTGTTGTTTCACGTCAACTTTTTTTGTTATACAAAAATAAAGTGGGAAGAAGTATGGGAGAGCCATGTTTCGGAACGAATGGGTCGGCTCATGTCATGCTCATCGACCGGAGTGATGCCACGGCCTCATAGAAAACCAGCGTGAAACAACTACAGCGTTCTGTTCCGCCGTGTGAGTGATGTAACCGGAGGTCCAATCCTTCCTCTACCCCAATTCCTAAATCTCCAAATTCCTAATCCCAAAAAGGTCGGCAACGCACTCGTTAATCCTCTGTTACAGCGGATGTCCATGGGCGGCGCTGACAGCTTACTATCAGGTAATCCGTCTGTTCGTTTGCCGGCCTATCACAAAAATGAAGTTTGGTGTTATTTACCCTTCTGGGAAAGTTGTAGGTGAGCGCTGCTCTCTCGCAGAAGTTAAACTGGTTCGCCAGCTTCTTCACCCGAGGTTTAATGTCTAGGTATTCTTCTTCCACCATATCACCCTCTGGTACGCCTTCCTCTGCAATTATACATTTGACTTTGTTACCAATCCGTAAAGATCAATTTTAATTGGTAAGCTAATATTTGTATAGTTACGATTTGTTTTGTTTGTTTTAGGGATCTACATAGTTGTCTTGGTGTATTTTGCTAATTATTATTATATGTGCCTTTATTGAAAGTTACTTTACTAAAATAATATTACTACATTAGTTACATGGAAAGATCTGTGCAAATTTCAAAAAATCTTTCTCTATTGACAAAAATCAGAAAGTTTTTAAAAAGTCAAGGAGTCATACTCAAATATGCGTGGTGTGACTCTCTTAAAATAGTTTTTGCGATCATTCAGATGGACACGTTATAAAAGCAACTATGCAATTACGCTTTTCAATGGACGAACGTGTTCTTTTATATGCTCAATATTTTACAAGGTTGTGACACAATAATAAAATTCGAATAACATCCTTCATACGGTTTGAGAGAACTACACTGCGAAAGAGAAGAATCTGTATTTTCTATATGTCAAGACTGTGTAGACTCTATTTTCTTGGTTTTCAGAATGATTCGGTAGGTTTTATTCGGGATTTTTCATTCGTAGGCAATTTTGGTTTGGCCCGCGTAGACTAAGAAAGATCATTTACGAATGCCCATCCTGATTGAATGGTCAACCCGAAGTGGGCTGGTAAAATGGCAGTTATCACAAACATTCTTAATAATTATGTTGCAAACAAAGTACAATAATAGATTAGATGTCTAAAAATATCGAAGAAAGAGTTGTTATTCTACGCTCATGAATAGAACAGTCAAATATAACAACGATAAAGGCACGCAGACCCTAACTGTCAGGGGCTAAACTTTCCAAATTAATATCTTACGCAAATCTAGATTATTTCGTTGAACCAAAATTCTTTTATATATTACTATTTCCGTTTCTTAGGACAGTGACTAAGATTACTTGAATGTACCGAATGTTTGGAGTTGAACTAGTTATTTGGACTTCGGGTTACCGAACCAATATGTAACTTATTTATTTTCGACAAGGTCTAAAGTTCTGTGTAGTAAAAATTACATTACTACACAGAAATTTTACGTGGTTTACCGACTCAATTAAATGGCTTTTTAGTTTTATTATCCCTAGTCTTTTTTACTCTTCTCGGAACAAAGGGTTATTCGATTTTACAAATTCTCAGTGACATACAAGATTGTGCCCAATGTATGATAGCTACTTAACACAACTTTTTCATGTAATACGAGTACTTCATATTGTTTATTTTACTTGTTCAATAACTGTGTTCAATAATAGATATTCTATGTCTATCTATCTGTTGTTGGCATAGTAGTTTGTTGATGACAGGAGGAACTCTTCAACAGGTAATTATCTTCTGGCTAAAACGACAGGAGAGAAAGGGATGCTTGCCTCCATAAAACAAATTTGGTAGTCACCATCAACCTATATAAAATACCAATGGGACCTTTCAAAGAAGATTCACAACTCGTAAATTTTTTAAACTAGCTATGTCGTGACCTGGCTGACTTTCCACAGGAGTCATACTATATCCAATCCTACCCGTAGTATTTGAATTTGCCGCGTTGTTGTTTCGATTGTTATTTCGAGTCTGGGTATAAAGTGTCTATGAAATTTTGTATTTGTAAACATATCCATGACATATGAGGAATTCTGATTTCTAAACTAGAATTTGTTTTAATAACGTTTTAAAATAAAATTTTATTGTGACACTCACTCTCCTCGCCTTCCTGTCCCTCCTCAGCAGCGACTGCTTCCTCTTCTGCTTTAGGCTCCTCCTGCGTCGGTTCTGCTGGTTTATCCTCTGCTTGTTCTTCGGGTGCTGCAGCCGCCTCTTCATCCTGCGCTTGGTCCTCTGTTCGAAAAAGAACAACATTATGGTATACCTCAAGGTGTTTTACGAAATAGGGTGGTAAATGAGTAGGTATCGCAATTGATGGTAAGTTATCGATATGGACCATGGACGTATATTATGACACATCGAAGAGGAGTAACAAGTGCGTAGTCGGCCCTTTAAGAGATATCCTCTCTATTACTATCCTTATATTTACCTAAACCTCACTCACGTGGTTCATTTCATCTGATTTTCTAAGTTTTTTTTTACCAACTTATGGTGTAGGTGATCGATTTGATCATATTATATCTTTGCTTTCAGTCATGTTGCATGTTTTATGTCAGATTGTAACTCGATTACAACTAATAATTTTTAGAACAATAAAAGCCAAAAATTAGACACGCAAACAAATTACTATGGTAATGGAAAATAAAAAGGTGATTGTAATCTAACAGGATTTAAATAACGTTTTAGGTACAGTTGCGGGTGTTACACATTTTTCAGCCAGCATTTTGTAACGATAACAATCAAAACGTGCAAAAATAAAATCAACACTGTCAGTATGAATAAATGGCAGCGTCCTATCGAATATTTCACGAGGCCTGTCTTGAATCGATTTTGGAATCGCTATAAATATTCGCTATTTCAATGGATTATCGTGTCGAATGCCAACAGGAGGTTACAAGGGTAACCGAAAATGGTTCACAATGGTTTATCATACGGAGATCTGCGTTTATTTGTGTTGTGAATAGTAACGCGTGTTATCAAACTATCTCGTGTTTGAGGTTGAGATGTTCGTTACTTTATTATTTAGCAACAATAAAATTACAATTTGGTTTTCGGTGAAATTCATAGATAATATTCATTATCATCATCAGCGTATAAGTGCTCACAATTAAGCCAAGGCATCTTATTATCTATCGCAAAGCTTGTTCAAGGCGGTTGGCGATTTCAAACTTATAATTAGAAACAATAAGTCCATGTTTCCTCATGTTTTCCTTCAACGTTTCTACTTCCTATAAAACGTTATCTTGACTGTTAATTTACGCTTTCGAGTCGATGCATTAATATTTTATTTGTATTTGGTCTCTTGAGTTTTTTAGGTTAAGAAATTGACACCCGGTTTCCGAAAGGCCGATTAATGTTAAAATCAATTTAATCTCTTGTCAAGTTATCTGATTGGTTGTTAATAAATCAGTCAACCAACCAGATGACTTGACAAGAGATTTAACAGGAGATTAGTTAATTTTAGCGTTGACAAGCCTTTCAGAAACCGGGTGTGAGTCGCTGAATTAACATATCAAGCATAATGTAATAAATTAGGTTAGACAGTGATTGCTCTTACCTTGAGTTTTTATGAATGATTGTATCTTTCTGTTTACGCTTTACGAATGTGTTATGCGATTTTATTCAGCCATTTTATATGCGCCATATGAATATACACATATAATACAAATTCCTCTCTGGATGAAATATTGATACCATCTGGTGCTGCATATTCCTGAAGATATTTCTTCCTTCAGGTCTGCGTTGCAAAATCTATTTTTGCGAGTGGTTGTGACTTAAGTTTTTAAAGACACAGTTTCAACAAAACAATATATTACTTATCTAAAAAAAACATACATTTCATAAAGGTGTTGTCGTGTGTTCTGTACGTTACGTGTAAAATAAAATACGCAATGAGGATATGGATAAAGTTTTGCCCACTGTCTTTTCCCATATTTTTTTTAAACAAAAACTAGTAGAAATTGCACTGGTGGAAAGTTAGTAGTGAGTCAGGAACTGAGGATGTTAGATATGTTTTAATAGCTTCTAAATACGCAACCAATGTTTTTATAAATTACGAGGCAAGCAAATAATTTATTTATCCATCTTCGTCTGTTACTTTAATTAGATAAACACAGCAATAGTTTTAAAGCATACAATTCAATATTTACGTGTAAACTTTTACGTATGTTTTGTAATCGTGATCGTATGAATCACATATTTGCAATCGTTACTAAGATTTTAAAATTGTTATTGATAAATTTGTTTTAGATCAAAAATCTAACACTATTTATTTGACTTGCTACATTCAATGGTCAGGGGATACTTTTGCATATCTAATTTTGTTAAAAGGACCGCCCCGCGGAAAATCTGCACTTTGCCGATTTTTATTACAAATTTAAAAGTGTTTTTTAGAATATTTATATTATATCTCACATTACCTTCATCTTTAACCTCTTCTGGAGCAGCTGCTTCCTGTTCAGGTTCTTCCTCCTCTTCTTCTTCGGTTTTAGTCTTCTTGACTTTTACTCGCTTCGGCCCAGCATCATCAAAGCTGACCATACCTAAAATATAACTGTGTGTATGAAAAAATTGTCATCAACTATTTCACGTGTTGGTCGAGAGAATATTTAGTAGTTGATGATATACATAGGTACATGTTGATGTATTGTTTGTTCTGATAGTTAAGATCAAATAAAGGCTAGTCCGTAGATTTACGAAAAATACATGTCTCAACTACTTTCATTTTTTATTGGAACTGACCATATCCAGCGGCAATTTGAGCTTTGGCTTCATCAGAATCCTTCCGAATAGCCGTGCCTTGGTAAACGTACAGCGGGTATGCTTTCCCATATGTTGGTTTTGGCTTGGGTACGAACATCCCTCTCCCATAGTGGTACGCTACTTCATCAGCTACCCATTGAGGGTTGATCGTGGTCAAAATGCGTCCCACTTCTTCTTCCAAGTCCTAGATAAAGAAAATGGGTTTAGCATTCATGTAATGATATTTTATACGGTGCAATTTTATGGCGAATGTATGTCTTAACAACTTCTATTATTCGGATCGTGACTTTTTCACCATTATTATCTACTACTACATTTGATGACCAAAGCTTTCAATTAAATTAAATACAAATGTTTACGGCCACCAATCAGCAACTTTCTTCTTGTTCCCATAGAAAAGCACGAGCGTCCATGAATTTCTGATTAACGTAATAGGTAAGCGTCATACATTCTCAGAGAGTATTTTTTTTTACTGTAAATATGTCGGTGTTTATGTTCAAGCCGCAAAATTTATAGCCACAGCTCATTTTATTTACTTTCAATTCATAATTAAAGGAAATAATAATCGTTTAGATTTTGACTACCTACATACTCATAACTCATTGTACGCATGCGCCCAATTGTTGCCGATCTTTGCTCTTTACTTTCGTATTTGTTATCATCAGGTCTACTTGTGTGCTAGTTAAAAAGAAAAGTCTTACAGCTTCTGGCACGTCTTCTTGGTCATCAGGTTTGATGAGTGTCCGCGGCTTGAGCCAATCTAGATTGTCGTCTTCAACTAGGTTCCCTCGAGACTTAGTCGCATCCTTCTGCTAAATAACACCAGTATTATTATACAAACAAACTACATGTCACACTGTATGATGACGTTACGTACATCCAAGCACTGCAAAGTTTTGTTAATAAGCACTTTCTCCTCATTTATGTTAAGAGCGCGTTTTATCATAGCCTTCAACATTTTTACTTAATTTTTCTCCTTTACTTCAGAAATAAAGAAATACGCAAGCACGCAAGCGATGTCTGACAGCAAATGAAACACTGCTTAGTTTTCTAAACGTTTGAGAACTCGGAGCGGATTTACGAGTAAATATTCTAGAGACATTTGCATATTGTTTGATAGGTCTTTATTGGGGACGATCATGTAATTCGACTATAAATAATTCGAGGCACTTTTAGTTAAGCGAAGCAAGCGTAAACAAACGATTAAACCGTTGCGTGCCCCAAGCATGCTGGATTGTATCTTTATTCATAATTAAGCTGCCGGTTTATGGTCCACGCAAAAGTTGTGCGTTGAATGTACTTACGTCAGCGTAATCGTCCAAATTTGAAGACACGTGTGATAGTATGGAATCGTTAGATGTAGGTTTTACATCACATTCATCGAACATTTCTTTTTTAAATTTACTATACGACCTTTAGCTTTAGAAGCGCAAATAAGTACTGCAGTGTCTTATAGCTAGTAGTTCTCACCCAGATACAAAATGAACTTTGACCGACGAGTGAACTTAACTGCATTAGTATTCATAGTCGCTAATGTACCAAGTACTAGTTAACTAGCAACGCCAAGGAAAATATTAAATTTGATTTTATTGTGTCTGCATAATTTAACACAGCGAATGCAAGTTTGTTTCTAATAATATTTTATTTATGTAATGATGATTTGCAACTTTATCGAATTAGAAAATGTAACGATGAGAACTATTGAGAGAGCATGACACCCGTAAAACGTGTAGAACAAGACGCAGTATTTTTAGCAGCGGTCATTGCCGATTTGGCGACTTCCTACGTTTGAGAGATGCACCTTGATCATGTTTTATAGTATGCAACGACACTGAGAAGCAGTAAAACTTTCGATTCTCCTTAAAAAATAAGTTGTAGTAAACTATGACCATGCTAGAGTTACGTACCTACATTTTGGAGTTACACCAGGCACACGAATTCTTGTAACAATCAAAAGGAACAAGTCACAGTTAGACGTGGCTGATGTTTTCAAAACTATTGACATTATAGATATTTGAGATTTTTGTTGAAAATGCGACAAAGCTAAAGCCACGGGCAAGAAGCCAGTGTTAAAATAATTGCAAACGAAGGTTATCTATAATCTTTTTCTTAGCTATTATATAAGCAACGGTTTATGGGATCTTGGAGTTGGATTACATTGTAAAATGGCTGCAAAGCCCTCCTTAGCTATTACATTTTATGTGGCTAATTCTCAAGTTATGAATGGGAAATAAATTAAAGGCAATCGTTGTAATCGCCCATAAAATGACCTTATGGTCGTTTGAGTCAGGGCGAAGCTTATTTTAGATTTAAATTCAGATACAATGTTCTATTACGATGAGTTCGCTTGTTACATGAATTATTTACTACCTAGACTTCAAAATGAAAAAAAAGAATATATTTTTCAATTAGTTTTAATTTACACTTCTTCCTTCTTACATTTCTTTTTTTTTAATAATACATCACGCTACTGTCTGTAAGAGCGGATATATGGTCTAACAAACACAAAAATAATTGTTCAGTTTTGAACCAGTAGTTCTGCAGATAGGGGCGTTCAAACAGACAAACAAACTACAGCTTTATAGGTAATACCAGTGTAGACAAAATGTTTCCAAGAACGTCGTTTATTCATAAAAATGAAAACAAAAATATGATTTCCTTCATTTCCTTCTTTTGTATCCACGCTACCAGCATTATCAATCTAGAATCTAACCCCAAGATCAGTATTAGCATATTTTTCTACTTCATTTAAAAGTTAAACAATTTTTTTTAATTTTTTACTTCTGCTGTCGGTACAAAGTTTGTAAATTACTTCCCTGGGCTGGGCGTGTCACCAAATTCTAATTAGTCTCCGTGTCTGGCATTAGCTAGTACTAGGGAACGAATCACGATACTGCGCGACAATGGCGCCTCCACATTAGCATTCAACATTTTAGACTAGCCTTTGGTTTGACATGGATTACAGTTCTTGCTGGTGTAATTTCTAACTTCTGGTGAGTTTATTTGATTTTAAATTTGATCTGGCTCAGATAAAGCGTTAGTAGATCGTAGAAAATTTAGAAATCATTGCTTCTTTAATTAATTTAAAATCTTTGTTGTAATTTTTTTTCTGTATTAGACAAAAGATTAATTTAAGGTGTTTATGTTTTTTTTAGATTGTATCCTTGAGGGTATTTTCCTTTTCTTTTTTTTGTCTAAATGATTGCAAAAGAGTCAAACGTGGGGTATCTTTCTTATTCTTCGTTAATAATAAAGAGTTTACATAAAATTGTGTATTGACATAAATTATTTGACTTTGTTTATTAAGAAAATGGTATGGAATGCCTACTAAGAAAATGTCACTGTTTTCCTTCTTGGTAAAGTTAATGCGTCACTATTATCCTCCATTTTCAAACTAGACTTTTTGAGTTCCCACACAATTTTTTTACGGATATTAATTACATTTACATTCAGCTTTATAGTTCTGTGTACAAGTAAGTCCGTATGGTTTTATAGGCACTCTTGTGGCTGTAGTAGAAAGATTTAGGGCTTCGATATCGAGGTACATAAACTTATGACATCATAAAACGTCGCCTGGAGACGTATGTGTTGTACTTCCGATGCTAAACTTAAAATAGACTAGGTTTTATTTTTATTTCCTTTGCTACTTTAGTGGCAGGTTTTGTTAAGACAAAACCGGCGGGTATATTTAAGCTTGCTTAAATATCTATTACTAGCGACCCGTCCCGGCTTCACACGAGTGCAATTATTATATTAAATGCCTCCACTATTTAATGGATGTTATTATAGGTACAGATAAACCTTTCTCTTCAATCATTTTATCTATTACAAAAAGAAAAGCCACATCAAAATCCGTTGCGTAGTTTCAAAGATTTAAGCGTACATAGGGATATAGGGACAGAGAAAGCGACTTTGTTTCCAAGTTTTTTTTATGGAATAGGCCTGCAAACGGGCTGACGGATTACCTGATGGTAAGCAATCGGTGCCACCCAAGGACACCTGCAAAACTGAAAGAGTTACAAGTGCTTTGTCGACCTTTTAGGGATAAGAGTTTCGGATATTTAAGGATTGGGTGAGGGGTAGGGAGAATGGTTGGGCCTCCGGTAACCTCACTCACACTGCGTAACAAAAAGATGTGGTTGTTTCACGCCGGTTTTCTGTGAAGCCGTGGAATCACTCCGGTCAAGTCGACCCGAAGCTTGGCTTTCCCTCACTTAAATACTGTGATTACATACCAAGTTTAAACTATCGTCAATATTCTTTTAATTTAAGTAGCTGAGGCATACCGATGAAGGTACATACCTAATTATAATTCTATATGATCCTTTGCTAAATAGCACATAATTTAGTTTTATGTAACCTATTAACTAATTGCGTAATAAAACCTGTCTGTTTCCATGAGTCAACAACAAAATTGGTCCTAAATTTACTTTCAATTTATATTATTACCAAAATTAATTTGAACTTTGAAGTTAATCAGAATTTCGTGTTATTTGGTTCACGTGTCTATCAAACAGAAATTCTAAAATTAGGCTGAACTTTAACATTTGAGGTTAAGGGTCTGCACAGACGAGAGATTTTCGTCCGAAATAAACTCAACTGTGTCACGCCCGAGGAAATCTTAATCTTTTATGTTAGTCATTATATGTATATGTGGTTGACTAGCGGTCCGCCCCGGCTTCGCATGGCAGCAATGCTGATACTAAATCTCTTCAATTCAATTAATGAATGTTAATATCCATATAAACCTTCCTCTTCACTCTATCTCATAAAAAAACCACATCAAAATCTGTTGCGTAGTTTCAAAGATTTAAGCATACCTACATAGAGACAGAGAAAGCGACTATGTTTTATATTTATACTATGTAGTGATTAGGAATCTTGTTGACAAAAATCGTATCGTGACGATTAGTCTGCACCCTAGTTCTTCCCGTGGGTACCATACCATTCAAAGAGTTAAACACATTTGTAGAGAACAAACGCTCCATAGTACGAAGGAGCTATTAATGTCCCCACAGACCACATACACACCACTACACAAGAAGTTAGAGTTTAATTTGTTTGAAGCCGCGGTCTTCAATTTATAGTCAAGCGTCAATGCATTTTTCTGAGTAGGGAGAATCATAAAACAATCCGTTTCTTCTCCTGCTCCAGGTTGAGACCGCGGTAAATTATTGTGCTTAGGTACCTACCCCGAAACTCCGACAAGGAGATTATTCTGACAAATATTATTGAAAGGTACATATTTAAGCGTAAGAATTATTGTTGTCGTTAATGATGATGATATCTGAAAAAGTAATAAAGAAAAAGGCGGGATGTCTTTGTTTTAAGGAGGGAAAATCATCCTGCCCTGTAGATAACATCACGGTGGATCTTTTACACATTTAACCCCTGACGCAAAAAGAGGGGTGGTATTAGTTTGACGTGTCTGTGGCATCCTGGAGCCTGAACGGGTGAAGCGATTTCAATTTAGTTTCTTTTTGTATTAAAGGTGACTTACGTGCGAGTGTTCTTAGACATGTTTGACGAAAATCGGTTGAGCCGTTTAGAAGTTATGGGGTGGAGGGGGGGTAAGTGGGAGACGAATATTTTACTTTAATTTCTAATTTTAACTAATTCGTTTTTACCTGATATTTATGTAGGCAAGGTTGTTAAATTAAACTTGGCTGAAAGTACATAGATTCGTAATAGTTGTGTAATAATATTTAACTAGTATAGTACTATTACTAGTCTGTTACATGTATAATATTTGTGCTGTCTAATGCCGTGGTACATAGTATTGGCTAAAATGTAAAATTTCTTGTTTGAGATTCATATAGGTCATGGACATTTTATAAAAGTCGCCGTAAAAATATCAACCTTCTATGTTATTTTTGCAAAAGTATAACAACATAATATTTAAAAAAAGTAAGCTAATTTCGCGCCAAATTGTAAAAAAAATCTAATAAATATTATTATTCCCGCCCAATCTTAAGCTTTTCGAAATTCAAATCAAATTACCGTTCCAAAATTGTAAACAGTAATAAACATAAAATGTTTTACGATTTACATTTCCGTTATGCATCGGGGTTGCGTGATGGATATGGAATGATGATGTTCGATCGATGGAGACGAGGGGACAATACATCGGTACCTGATAGCCGTTATCGTGATAACCAACAGTTTTGACTGATTGCCTCTGTTAATTCCTATTAGGGTAAGCCGCAGTGTCGAACGTGCGGTCTCCTGACATTGTCGTGGCAAATTGAAAAAGTTTTTGAATTTCGAACTACACGAGATTGGCGATTTAAATGGCGGGTAAGATTAGGTATTATTATTTTATTTTCGTTTTTAGAATTAATTTGGCTTTTTGTGTTACGAATTTTGTAGTTCGCCATGAACACGCTGCGGTATTTTTACCTACTGGTGAATTATCGCAGCATAATTGCTGAGATGGTGGCCTTTATGGCCTAACACAGGTCTTTTATTCTATTTTTTAATATTTTTTGTTGTTGTTTTGTTTATTTTTCTTTTTGTATATGTATACATGTATAAAATGTAATTGTATTTATTTTCTGTGCGAGTCTCAAATAAATGTTTTTCTTTCTCTTTCTTTCTTTCTAACACGGAACAATTAAATTGGTTTTCTATTATTTGTAACGTAGTTGCCATATGGTGGTTTTCCGATGTAAAATATCGCCGAAACCATTCGTATCTAACCACGATTTAGTGCCGTCCCCAACCTAGTTAGCACAAGGTCGGGAGAAAGAAACGTTTACCAAATAAACATTTACGAGCCAATCTTTCATTTTGAAATAGTATTAGTAAGACAAACTATCCCTTTTTGTTCTTAAGTTCTGTTAAATGTTGCCAATTACTGACAGATAAAACGCACTTCATTTCATGTGATACTAAACTACAGTTCTTGAAGCATTGCTTGCGTTGATAGCAACAGTACGATTCCTATATAATACCTCACGTAATATAGCGAAGCATGAGATCAGAAGACAGGGTCACAAGGCGTGCAAAACGTACACATTATGAGTATTGTAACACAAATAAATTATCTATTCCAAGATAATGCAGTGATTGGTGCCTAAACACATAGTATGTACAACATGAACGGCTCCTTGGCTCCAGCATATCTTCCAATGTTGGTAACAACATCTCCAAGTTTGCCACCAACACACCAACATGCTGAACCAACAGCCAGACAGGACGGTCACAAACGGCAGCCAATGTTGGCCAAGACAGACACAAACACAGGTACAAGGTCGTATGTACAATGGAGTGACGCACACGCATGCTGAGTCCTAAGGACTGTTACTCACTCTCAACCGCTTTAGTAGCAATCCTATGGATTTCTCCTTGGATTTACTTCGCCATAGTTCTGGCAATTTCTTTTTCATCCCTTTCGGACTAGGGTTCTAAATCAGGCAGCAAAATATTATTATTAGCATCGTCAAGATTATAAATTTTATGTTCTGTGTGTGTCTTATAAGTGACTGTACCTGTATTTACTGTTGTTGGTCTTCGTTTGTAACAAATACCTAAATGGATATCGTGTTTATAAAATACACTGATACTTACGTAGGTTTCTGTAGAAAAATTTCGTATAAAACGGAGTTACAATAATAACGCTGAGCTAAGTTTAATGTGCAGCTGTTTGGTTGTGTAAATATTCGAATGGGATTCAAGGAATACTTTTGTAAAGAGAACAAAACAGTGATATCTATAACTGGAATCTAGAACAGTTTGTGTTTCACGACTGTTTAAGTAGTCCTAAATATTCCTTTAGCATTGAACTCGAAGATAGATGGTAGATAGAAGATAATTGTCAAGGAGATTGTGAAGATCGCTCCAGTAGTTCCTAGATTAGTTATAAACCATTATTTGACATGTAAATCAGTTTGAAGTCTGTTAATGTAACTTATTAATGTAAACAGTGGAACAGTTTGTGAAGAGCAAATATCCGTTGTTTGGTAGCGTTCGTGTTTGATCAATGTTGCTAGTTCTTACATAATATACAAAACAATATTTGTTTTATACGCTAATCAATATACATTATTACATTATGTTGCTATTTACACAGTTTTGTTAACTTATTCTGGTTAAATGTTATTAAAATAAACACTATAAAGTTTGAAAATATGATTAGTAAAAGTTCGTTAATGTTTGTTGCTTAAGAATTTATAAAAATAAGCTTACCTTCTTCGGCGGCATAACGAGGTGCTCATATAAATAAAACTAAACAAATTAAAAACTAAATACATACAATAACGTATCTTTCAAAATCTTGGACGAGGAGAAAAAGTTTGACAAATACGTAAATAAAATTTGACAGGGTATTGTTAGTTGTAGGGATGCGCGCGCAGGGCGGCGTTGTCATGGAAACGGGGTGGAGCGCCCCCTGACTCTAGTCGGGCTGCAGTACTGTGCAGAGTTGTGACGTGTTTTCCAATAGACCGGTCTCATCTGGTCTATCCCTAAAGGTAAATAATCATAATCTAATATAATCCTTGTTGCAACGGAAATAGTGTTCACTGTCGCAAAGTTATATTTAGATTGGTCACGCGACGTTTAGATTGATAGTGTGGTAATAGGCGTACGTTGTATCCTCTATGTAGTGCGTAGGTGTCCAATTAGTCCATTCTGTGTAGTGTTAATGTCGTAGGGAGGAATTATAGACACATTAGAGTGATTACCTTAGACTAATTCGACGTGCACGATTATTGGTACAATTTATTAAGGTAATTATTGCAAACAACGTGTTTTGACACAAAGGACTTCGTTTACTATCAAACAAGCATGCCTTTGTATTACGGAGCAATGAATATATTTATCATAATGTTTATATACAAAGAAAAAAGTTTTCTAAGATTATTTTTTATTCCTAATATTTTATCTTTCTTAACGTATCTGTTTAAATTAAATAATAAATATGTGTATAATTAAGGAACACAGTAGTGACATCTACAAATAGTCCCGTCTAAAAATAATTCGGTCGATCTATTTACGTCCTTACAATTAAAATTAGTACTTTGTTTTAAACTCAATTGTAAACATACAGTCCTGTTATTTTTAATAAAATAAGAAATATATTAGTTGTAGGAACACACATAGATTCTTAGACGCCTCGTGAAGATTGACAATTAATTTAATTGGAGATATCAAAGAATTTAAGAGTGGGACAGCCACGCTTCGGCACGAATGGGTCGGCTCGACCGGAGTGATACCATGGCCTTACCGAGAATCGGCGTGAAAAACTACAGCCTTGTGAGCGTTTTGTTTTGCCGTGTGTTTGAGGTTACAGTAGGCCCAATCTTTCTCCTTTCCCAATCCTTAAAACTCCAAATCTCTAAGCCCCAAAAGGTCAACAACGCACTCGTAACTCCTCTGTTCTTGCGGGTGTCCACGGGCGGCGCTGGTTGCTTACTATCAGGCAATAAGTCTGCTGGTTTGCCACCTATTACATAAAAAAAGAACTTTATTTTTACAACGTTTTAATAAATAAAAACAGTAAGAAAAATAACGGCATGGAACTATCTCAATTCCACGTTATATTTGTCGCTACTTTTCCAAGTTATTTTTATCGTTTCTGACATTTATAAATCCGTTTGTAAGCAACATGGAATTCCGTTGTGGAACCGTTTGAATCTTCAATAAATTATTTAAATATATTTATAGTTCTGCATAATGCATCATCCGTATAAGCTTTGGATAGAGTGTTGCTATTTGTGTAGTGCACTTTAATACTACATATATATTATATTATATATTTTATATGAGGATGAGTATTCCGGTTTACGGCCTTGTTTACAACAGATCAAATTGATTGCGTTTCGGAATGTTGCTGTTATTGATTCAGGTTGCCAAGGATTTGGTTTGGTGATATGTGTTTGTAAAAGTTTCGATAGATACCTATTTCGTCTCGTTTGAGCATTTTTTACCCGACTACGGCAAAGCAAAAGGAGGGTTATGATTTTGACAGGCTATGTATGTATGTATGTTGTATGTATGTATATATGTATGTTGTTGTATTGTATGTACGTAACTTCTAAAGTATTTATAAGAATAATATAAGAATAATACCTAAGAATTCGACATATGACATATCATTAGAAACATCTTAGTTGTCCGCTGGCTTTATGATGTATCACAAAATCTAATGTGGAGTCCTCTAGCGGACAAAACAACCAGAGTAAAAAAATAAAGTTAAGATAATTATACCATGTTTGGTATCATTTTAAAGCTCTTTACTTGTACATTTTGGATATATAAATATTACTAGCATTTGTGGCTTTCCTTGTATTCATGGGCTGATTGAATATCATTCACATCTTTTCGTTCATACCTTTAACTACTTAATATTACATAGTTCATTCGTCTGTTGATATTATGCGCCACAAATACACTGTAACACAAAAACTGTGACAAAAACCGACGCTGAAAAAATATAAAACAACATTTTCAGAATCCTGAAAGGCGTAGTCACACGTTATCAAAGTGCAGGTATGGTAAGTAAATGTAACGTGTGACTAAGCCTTTCAGTATTCTGAAATTCTTTAACAAGGAACCAGACCATTTATTTAGTTAATGTTTTTTGTTTCACAACAATCTGTGATTGAAATAAATACTTACAGATACTTACCTAACATTACATTTCTGCGAAACTGCGCTTCCAACAGTAATAGAAAATTAATTTATAAGAACCAATCTCTCCAGTAAACACAGTAAAAATATTTATTCTCAATTCTAGGGAGGTTCAATTGATCAGTGGTGTCAACATACAAGCTGGCGGCTGAAGGCGACCGGGGCGGCGGGTTGCTGATCCCTGCCCGAGAACCTGATGACAGCGGGATTGATAGTGACGACGCCGTCAGAAGGCTGATACTCGCTCATCAAAGGCTACCGGTAATTGACTTCATAGTCGTAGTAGGAGGCCTAAACCTGCCCTGTCTTTCTCCCTATTCATTCACTCCTGGAATCCTTAACCCTAAATTGCTGGCATGCAATTGTAACATGTAGTGTTAGGAGTGACTATGGGGGGTATGCTCTTGTAACCTCTGGTGTTAAGGTTGTCCATGGCGGTCGGGATGTATCGATGCTGATTGCTCACCATTATAAAATCCGTTTCATATACATATTTACATAAATACATAGTTCATACATCATAACCTTTTTCTTACTTTTTTTCGTTTACTCTTTTCCTCCCATAAAAAAGAATAGTTTAGTCGAGTTAGTTGGTTATCCACTGTTGATCTAAGTTCAACAGTGGATAGGTTGTGATATAATAAAATGTGTTAATTTTAATTAAATATGTATTATTGTGGCCAAAGCTACCTTTTGTTCATTATTAATTGGGCTTTCATAAGTGACTTCTTTCCAATCACCGTCATTTGACGTGTAAAAGTGCTATTTTGGAACCTGTTTAGAAATAAATATAAAAGTGTATCATTAGATTGAGTGCGATTATTCTTCGAATAAAATAAGGACGATTACTTTTTGGGAAGAAAATTCATTTTTCAAATTTTGTTTTCAGTTCAGTGACGAGAGCAGCAGTGATGATGAGCTGCAGATCCCGTCTCCAACGACAAACAGGCATCGAAACGAGCGGCGCGCTAGTCTGGTAAGCATGATGTACCAATCTCTTCAACGAATAAAATGATCTTTATCTTTAAGTAAATCCATGATTTTAGGCTTGAAAGATCTTTGAAAAAACCACACATCTATACGGTCGAATTGGGTAACTTCCTCCTTTTTTTAAGTCGGTTTAAAAGTTAATATTACTAAATAAAATGTAGTAGGTACCGGGGTTTTAGCAAAATAAGGTATCCCATCCTGGAGCAAGAAGATCGGGTCATATTTAGTGAGTAAGTCTAAAGCTCTCGTTCCACCTAGGGTAGGAAAAGTCATAGGATGATTCGCCCCTCCAGAAAACAATTATACAATGGTATATTTAAAGGTTGATTCCTATCCTTCCCTTCCCGCAATTCCTCCTCCATCCCAAAACTGTAATCCGCAAAACGACGGCAACGTACTCGTAACTCCTGCATTGCTGCGGGTGTTTACAAGTGATTTATGATGTTACTTGATCCTTTTTACCTACAGAAAAACCCGCAAGAAGACCACGACCTAGTCATAATGCAGTGGCCTCAAGAACAGTATACGAAAGACCAGAATGCGACAGGAGAGACCACCCCTGACCGGTCTTCTCCGCCTCTCTACGAAGTAGAACTGACAGCTTCCGACGAAGACGATGATGCATCGGTCTTGGAGCTGGTCATCCCGATGCACTCCTCAAGGTACCAGAGAGTACCGACGTCATCTCCAAAGAAATCGAAGCCAAAGGTAGTTAAAAGATATTTTTGCAGCATGATCTGCTGTGGACGAAAGTAGGATAGTTTTTGATCTTGATGTTTTAAATTTATATTTAAGAAGATGTAAGTTTGGAGGTCACGAATTTTGTGAATTAGTTTTTTAATGGAGGACTACGCGTTTGAGTTTTAATGCAAAGAAAATTTTCGTCTTAACTGAAATTAAGTGCTGGAAACTTTTGTACTATATTTTTTCCAAAATAAATAAAATTTAGCCTCAATTAAAAAAAACTAAATCAAAATGCAGTTTTGAATAGGTACTCCTCCATGGTTTGTAAATTATATAAGACCTCATAAGAATTTTCTTTATTTAATTTTACTTTACGCTAAAATACAAGTATAACCTGTATTCCACCCAATTTATCTGGAAACTGGAAAATGAGTTTTATAGATACTTTTGTATAACTCAAAAGAGTTTTTTTTATGAGTTCATCGAATTCATTATTCGATAATTAGCTTCTCGACCGAGTGAAAAATAAATTATTACATAAAAATTAATATTAAATCGAAATCTTCTATTTGAAATATAAAAAAAAATATACGACGTCACAACGCAAATTCCCGCATAAAATTCAAAGGAAACAATCAATTTAGACAATTCGAATAAATTACTATCGTAAGGTATATATACTAAGTTTATTGAAAACAACGATTTACTCGCGTGAATTAACTGAGAAAAGCTCTACTTGGTTGAAGAAGAGTCGTGTTCTGACTCTTTTTCATGTGTAGCGTGCGCGTCTCAACAACGACGTCGCGCGTCCGACGGCTCATAAGAGTCCCGCTGTGACGTGAAACTAGTTTAGCTTTTGCCACTCTCAGTATTCACCTGCGTAAGTTGTAAGTTTAATGAAATAAAAAAAAATTCAACTTACTAGTTCTCAAGTACAGAATTAATTTTTTTTATAATATTAATAATATCTGATCTTCTAAATTCGTCAATTTAAGTAAACTAGTAATTATTGTTTGTATGTAATAAGCACATTATTGAGTGAGAATGTGTCGGTCAATTAAAAAAATTGATGTCGTAAACATACTATTCGTGTAACAATATAAGCTTTGTGTTATTTTTAAGTAATGTTCGTTTAAGTTCCTTTATTGAAGTATTTTGAAAATAAGTAATATTTTGTATTTTTATCTGTAAGCTTATTTTATATTGAAATAATTGACTGTCAATCTAAAAATTATTGATTTTTTAAATCAAATCAAATCAAATTAACCTTTATTGTGGATCATAGGTAGGTACATAATACAGGTGGCTGATATATAATAAATCGTGAACAGCTATGTCCCGCCCGTAGGGCATACAATATATGTAGTGGGTCAATAACATGGTAATAACACAATAATATTACATACACATTACAATTGGAATTATACAAATAGTCAGTTTATTAATAGAGTACAAAGTCAATAGGTAACTGAACGCATCATGACTGAGTGGGATTGCTCGTATATTGGTGCAGAGATTTGTCTAATAAGAAGTGATGAAAAACATACAACAAAAAATGTGAAGGATTAACAAAAATGGCAAAGTTAGCACACAAGTTAAATATGTAATCTGCTGATAATTTGTATTATACATAGTTTATCCTTTAAAGGTAGCAGAATTATTAGGATATAAAGCAGGGCTAACTAGAGAACGGGGTTATGCAATACCTAATGTACCGCTACCTTGTAGAAGAAGGAACGGAGTAAATTTTAGTCAGTAAGAGTTTGACACTCTCTTTCGCCCCCACTGAAGGACAGAGAAGTCATTTAGTTGATTCCCTAACCACTGGATATAACAGGTGAGACATACTAAATTAACTAAAAATCGCGGGTTACTCACGTGTTTAATCGAGTACGCTGCGCGACGTCGCCGCGTCAGCGCACGCTGCTCATGAGGAAGAACCCCTCTGTGGTTCGAAACTAGTAGAGCTTTTCTCAATAACACACGTGAGAAACCCGCGATTTTGGGTCAATTATAGATTATGTTATTTATTTTTGAAGTTTTAAGTAATTAATGGATGCGGTATCCATTAATTACTCCTCAAAAATATCTACGAAAAGAACTTTAACCTTGTCCAAACGAAGCAATAAATCAGTGAGTGATGGTCTCCTCATGTAACTAATTTATGGTCTAACATAATATTTAACATAACAACCTGAGTCAAGATTACTTTAAACTATAAGAGACACAAAACGAAAATTCAAATTGCTATAAAAAAGGAAATAAGAAAGATCAATTTTCTATGTAATGAAGACTGAAAAACGCGTTGCCAATATAATTAGCACAAACATTTCAACATTGTATGATGAATTTTTTTTAAATGGATTGTAGCTTTAATTGTCTAGTTTTATTTAGAAATTATAAATTATATTCGGTTTTAAATATTTAAGTATACATAATTATATTAGCTAAGTAATATACCTACTAAAAACTATTATTAATTTGCGCATTACCAATTTCTGTCGTTATTAGTTTTCTTGCTTTTTCGCGTTCCCTAGATGTCGCTACTGAGGCGTAAAGTCTTACAGCCCATTAAACGTCATTGATTAATTTATTGATTTATATAAAACATTTAATGAATTCAAGGGTCTTTCCATAATCATTAGAACCTCTTTTGAGAATCTGGTCTTACCAGAATTTATTTATTGACAAGCTTACTTAGTGAGGTTATATTTTCGAGGTGAACTAAAAGTACACTAGTAAAGCTTTTTACATACTATCAAAATTTTATCGAAACAGATTGGTACAGTGGTAGATATCATAAGTTTGTATACAAGATTCCTTTGCCAATTTCTCTGGTAAAAAATCTACTGTAAATATTTAGAATTCTAATTCTAATATATTACACTTTTAATGTTGTGCCATAAATATAACAATTGTAATCAATCGGCCTACGTCTTGTGGGTGGTTTATAATTTTTACAAAAGTATTTTATTCTATCTTAAGTAACGAGAAGCATTATGATCTAAATTATAATATAATTGATGATTTAATTGCAATAACGGTCTAAATATTAATGTAGATTGTGAATTGTGGATAGTGGAACTATCCTTAAATTTTATCTCTAATAAACCATGTTTTAAATTGTGATTGTGTTTGGTTTTTTAATCCAATTACTATGCTGTTATCAAAAGTTAATTTGCGAAATTACTACTGAATTCGCGGTGAAAGCATGTTTATTTAAAGTTTCATATTCTCAAATGGAGTGACATTTATATTGGCACCATCGTGTAAATAACGAATTGAAAGGAACTATTTAAGAATAGTGAGTATTTTGAAGTTTGTATACAGGCAAGATGAGAAGCGAAGTGGTCGAAGTGGTGTGTGACTTTTGAGATGAATTTCGAGGCGATTTACCATTTACAGGATATCACTGTTGAACATTAGTAGTGCTTCCTCCGGATTTTCCCGGAAGTTCACAAAACTTAGTTCATCAAGACATAATTTCGTCGTCATTTAAAAAACCTTTCCATGAAAGCATTACTAAAAAAGATTATGGTACTCATTATGACATACGAGTATTAGGTGCATATGGACACGGAATATGACTGAAAACTGTGAAATAAATAGTAGATATTTTATCTAAGCATAATTTCTTTTTCGAGTCCACTGATTTCACCATTTATGATAGATTAGGAAACAAATATGATTGTTCGGGTCGCGAAAATTTTTAACCTTAAACATTTATGAAAGTGTTTTTGTAAAATGAAGGCCAATAGCAAACATATACTTTTTGAATACAATTATTTCTAATGAGAGACAAAATTACCATTAAATATCAATATATTTTGTAGTCCTCTCTGCCTCCATTTTTTGTGTTTTGACGATTGAATTTCATATATCCCTTACCAACTATGTAAAACATTGTGGAAGCTAAATAAATGAATTGAATTGATTGTCCCGGTTACTTTTCCCGAGTATGATTCATCTGTAGGACTAGATGTTCTGACAAACCTGAAAGGAGAAGCAGTATTTTATTTCAATATTTCTTTCTTTTACTTTAATGCAACGACCATTTCATTGCATCACCCAAATGTTGATGATATTAAGTACGTATAACCAATATTCCTAAGGAGAGGAAGCTCATAGCCCAGCTGTGCTGTGAACTGTTATACACTGATGTTGACAACACATTATTTTATTAAACGTTAAAAATATAGTTTTTAGTTATGAAAAGAAAGGTTGTGAAAAGTAATTTTATAAAACTTACATGTTGTACCGATAATATGGTAAACATTTGTGAATAGATTTTATTTTATAATCCCATAATAGTTCATGCTAATTTTGTTCATCTTAGCTTTTGTATGTTTTAATATATGCACTAGATGTCGTTGAAATAAGACAGCTTTAACTGTTACCGTGCAGGTTCTCTGATTCACGCCGCTACTCGACAATAGATGGCGTTAAATTCAAATTTAATGTTACTCAAGGAAAATTCACGTTCCGATGAAGTATTGTGAAAGAAAGCACTTTAAGCACGTTTTTATATTAAGCTCTACGTCGCGAAGACAAAAGAAGAGTAAATTGGAGACGATTGTATCTGTTCTGAGTTTGACAGGCGTGGCTTTGACGTCTAGTATAGGGATCTTTTAACACTAATTTTATTTTCATTATCGATCTTTTGGTAGAGTGATGTAGTAATTTTGTGAGTTTCAGAGGAAGAAGGTTTATTTTTGTAATTAGAACCTAGTTTTGCTTGCAACTTAACATTCATTAACTGAAAAACGATTTTTGTTGCTCGTTAAATCCAAACTAGTATTATGAATGCGAAAATAACTCTGTCTGTCTGTCTGTATTTTCTTCACGCTTCAACTACTGAACTGATTTCTGTGAAATTTGGTACAGACATAGCTTGGAACTCGAGAAAGGACATAGGATAGTTTTTATGCCAACATTTGTATTTTATAAATAGAAATAATCATATACGAGCATGTCTTTGTGTGCCTTGTTCATCGAGTGGCCTCAAGTGTTCGATTGTGCAAACATTTAAAAGGATTTGCCATTTTCAAGAATACATTCGGTTATGCAATATTATATTTTAAAGAATAATGAAAAATTCGATTATCTTTTAATAATAATTATGTACTTTTTCTACAAAATAAGGAGTGTAGCGTTATGTTACAAAATTATAGATATATCAACAACGTTTTGATTCTGGAAATCTAAACTAATGTATAACAATATAGTACCTAGTAATTATAATCTTAGTGCCCATTGTTCTCTGTTTACACAATTTTCTAGAAGCAATTGCAAAAATTTAAGTAACACAAACAGAAAACATTATTAATATAAATTCAAAATGTACAACTAGGTACAAAATCAACTACTGAAAAGTGGGGATTAGGCCGTCCGCTTCTGATGCAAGAGGTTCGAAACATGTCATGTATCAATGTGACGTCTTAAGAGTTACCTTCTAAGATCATTCAGGCACCACTGACATACATTCAAAGAAAAATACGCGAGGTAAACTGGACTTATCTAATTACTAGCTACTTTCGCGCGGTTTCACCCGCTGCTCGGCTCCATTTAATCGTAGCGTTATGTTTTATAGCCTATAGCACCCAGGAACATTGTAGCTATCTATCATTGAAAGAATTTTAGCAATCCGACCAGCGGTTCCAAAGATTACAAACTTACAAAATTTACCAGTTTATAATATTAGTATAGATAAGTTTTTAGTAAGAGTAGGTATAGTCATCAAATGGTCATTTCTCTCGCCCAGGGCCGGTAGAGAGTGTCAGATTCTTACTGACTTTAAACTACTATGTTGCTTCTCCTACTTCAGGCCGAATGGTTGAATATTAACCTTTTTGGGCCCCATCTATAGAGATGGGACTCTGCATGAACTTTTTAAGTTTGCCTCAGAAGGTTCACGGTCATTCACGCATCATAGTGCATAGAAACAATAGCAGTTATACATCTATAGAACACATTTCACTATTCTCCTGAGGAACAAAGATACTGTTTATTGTTTTACAATACCGCTACATACTTGAGTTTGACCCGCAACCCTCGCTGATCTGATTATGATCTTCTTTCTGATTAGTTTCATAAATATTATAAGTTTAAAATCGATAATGCACCTTGGCCAAGCGTTTTGGTCATTTCTCATACCTCCATATAGAATACCGATGTGAAACTACCACAGCTTGTGTTTCGCCGTGTGAGTGACGTTACCGGATCCGGATGTCCAATCCTTTACTCCTGCCTATCCTATCCGTCACCGATTCTTGAATCCATACATCACCCACAACTTCTCTAATGTTGCGGGTGTCCATGGGCGGATCCAATTTCTTACCATCAGTTAAAACGAGTGCCCGTTTGCATTGCAAAAAAGGTACTTTTTTAAAGTATTTAAGTACTTTTCAAGTACTCAGCTGTAGGTGCCTATAGACTGGTCTGTTCATAAATTATAGGTTGTTTTTACTTCTGATGTTTCGGGTTTCGGTCCCAAGGTTCGCAGTATGAGATTCTACGTTTAGTCTAGGTTAGTAGGTTGAATAAAATAATAGGATTTTTCACTTTCAAATTGTTTCATACCTACGTAGGATTATGTATTGTATTACGTTGAAATAAGCTTTATTTATCTTTAATTTTCCTTTATTCTTTAATAAACAATGCGGTAGCATTAGCCTTTGGTGTTCTTTGTTTCGCTCCCTAAAAATGTAGTCCAAAAATAATATTTTCTTATATTTTACGTACTTAAGTAATTGTATATGTGTACACATTACATTCAACTTTTTTTTAAGGTAATGATTACTAAGAACCTTTGTTAAGAAACCCTTTTAAATGACTCTCGAGTATGGTGGCAAAAACTTGTTCAGTGCGGGCGGTCTAGGGTGTTTATAAGATCGCTTCTATTGATATTGTTGGTTTAGAATACATTTTTGTGTTGCTATGGGTTGTTTTTTTTTGAGAAGAGAAAATCATATTGGTTTCATGTGCTTTCTTGAACTAACTCTTAACTAGACATGAAATTATTAAATTCACAAGAAAACAATCTGAAATATTGTGCTAGTTTTAATTTTTTCCATAATTCCTGCATATAATACGGGACGAAAGCAAATAAAAAGATATTTCCAAATCTAGATAAACTTCACATTAGAAACAGTTTACTTGCAGCTAGTGGAAAAAACAATAAAATGTTCTTAAGCAGAATGGTGCAAATACTATTACTTCCACACAATTACGTTATAACAGGGGTACTGCGATCACTGATCCGTTAGCAAGCGCTGTAATTAGCCAATATTCCCTTAACGAGCGCTCATTGTAGCCAGCTATTAGGATCGCCATGTTCCACCCTCCACGACTACAGCTTTAAAATGCATTCAAATATTACGTTCATAACTGGACAAGATTAATCCCCTTTGAAAAGCACATCTAACTAGTTTAGACATTGCACTATTGCTGAATATTGCGTATCTGAATATAGTGTCCAACACAAACACAAATAGCTTTATGTTCCATTAATAGTAACTACTTATATAGGCTATTACCCGCGCACAGTACATAGACGCGCTGAAGTAAATAATACCCTACTTAAAGTGTAGATTACCCAGCTCGAATAAAGCGATACGTTTGCATATTCAACGACAATAAAGACTAGTCTAGACTATCTAACAATACCTACTTCTTCAAGCACTTGTATGTAAATTGTCACGAGTTAATAAGCCGGTGTACACAGGATGAATAATTGCAAGAATCTCAGCTCCATAATCTGTAAACCCAAGTATAGGTGAGGTTTATTAGGCGCGCTTTTAAAGCGTGAGTCGCACGTGAAGGCTGTTTAATCGCGTCTGGGTGGAAGGCGGCGGCGGCCCCGCGTGGCTCGGTAGCGCGGGGCGGCGCCCGACCCGCCGCCAGTCGCGCCACAAGCCCCGGAGGGGCTGCACGTGTCCTCGCTCCCGCCGACCGACTTATGTAACCATCCGCACGGTGAGTCCGCAGCCTCCGTGCCCCTTCCTCCCCGACATCGACCCCGCGACTCGAACCCACGCGCTCTGTCACACGGCCGCCCTCCGCGGAGCGAGCCACCGCGCGACTGATAACCCTCGGATACTCTCGTACGTAGTGCTTAACCGTCAGCTGAGAGGTGACATAATCGATGCAGTAAGTACCGGTGTCCGGTGAGTGCGAGTATTCGCGGAATGCAGGTGCGTTATGTAACGGGAGTCCCGCGGGCCTGAGTCCGCCGGTCGCTCGGAACACAACGTTTACGCGGCAGGATGTGACGCTGTTAAGGCACCGCTTCTCGGAAGATCGTCGCTCGCATGCCTCGCTAATGACACTCGTTATCACGAACGATCTCTCGTCTCAAACGCTTTCGACAATCACGTGGAAATCGTTTTGGCCATATCTCCTCTCACATTATATCAAACAATCGTTGGAAATTATGTGTTAACCGGCTACGTAGGTACTCGTGCTTAAATAGGCACGATCTTCACTTCCTCAGGCAGAAGTATAATAAGAACGTGAGTGAAGAGGTTGGTATAGAGCCGCCTAATTGGAAGGTTGGAGCAACATAAAAAACCCATTCAACCGTGGAAAATTTTTGCGGGATAAGCGTGCTATATCTGCTGATTTATGGAATACATTCTACATTCTATGGAATCGATATTAGTTAATGGTGACGTTATAGGAGGGCCAACACATTATATTTGACCCTTTTCAAATTGGTATTGAAAGAAGTTGCCTGAATGGTCCCCAATCGTAATATCGTTAACAAGGAGTCTATAACCATTATAGTCAACGAGTTACAAATATGGTATAAAAAGCCCTCTATGGAATATTTGGAAAACGCTAGAGTACTGATGTTTTCTTGAGAGAACGTCGTTTGGGACAAAAACTCTGTCAAGTAGGTGCCCATTTATCATGATATTGCTGGTGACATCTGGGCAAAAGTGTATTATCTGAAGACCTATTATTGTAGATAAGTTTTTCGGCGAGGTCATTTATAGTTTTTATTGTTATTTGTATCAGAAATTATGTACATATAGCTAGTCTTTGTCTTCATACATTTCCAATAATATTAACAAAAGTCTACCTTTTGATAGAAAAGCCCTAATTCACTATGTTTTCGTAACAGTCTGTTTACTTTCTTCACGCCATTACCTATATTTGTTGTCGTCATAAAACGGATCAATCAAGTTGTCAAGGTAATATCCGTCACCCACCAGTTATGTATAAAAGTATTGGAACAATTTCTTTTGTTATATATCTACGTCCTATTTATAGAGTTTGAAAGTGATTGATAAAATAATAAGTTCAAACTTTTCATTTATTGAATCTGCATTTCTAAACGTATGTAGAGTACTGATAAGTGTCTATGAATTTGCATAAATGACGTAAGTTTAAAAATGGAATTCTGAATTCCCGCGAAAATTATTACGGGCAAAAAAGTAAAGATTATTTTTTTACCATCTTAGCGATAATGCCAAATATTTATATTGATTGAAAATATCAATAACAAAAGATTAATCTAAATCTTAACAATCATAAAATCGGTATTGGAAAAGTTTGCGATTATTAAAACGAAGATTATGAAATCGTTTTAGAAAATTGAATTTGGCCACCGAGCTTCTAAAAAGATACCGGAATGGATATTAGATTCAACTTCTGTATTTCTCCATGTTAAGCTTGCTAGCGGCCGTGCTCATTTTTAAATATTTAATTTCAATGTAGGAACGAATAAGATTCTTCAATGTGACAAAATTTTGATATGAGTTTCAATTTGAAACGTTAACGTAACTAAATCTTAGATGGTTATTTGTTGTTTTGGCTTCTTAATCTTTTTCAGAATTGGTTACGTGTTTATAAGTAATTTCTCAGACATATTAATAGTCTTTTTAAACGTGTATTGATAGGTATATAAGATAGCTATTTGTTTTTAAACAGCCAGTATTAATTTGGCTGATTGTAATAATACAACGGCCGACAGGAGTTATAGTGATGACCAATTAAGGCACAATGAAGGAATCAAAATCAAGGATGTGAATAATGTAATAATTATCTACTATTACCATTAGAACCTACTACATAATATATGCTAGTGATTTTTTCCATTTCTCAGACTTAAAACCAAAAACGCGATTACTTAGTATCTTTTTACAAACCTGCCCACCAAATAGGTTCATTGTCAAATCTTTAACTTACGATATATTTTTTTCTACCTTTATCACGCCTCAATACGGCCCAATCCGTTTCACGCTGCTCCGGGCGCACAAAAATCATTCTACTGTGAAATTTAATTGAAATTGGCTTTAATTGAAGGAACTATTAGCTGCCAAATTCCAATATACGGCCGATCATGTGTCATGGCGGAATTGTGGGCGGTCAGCAATATGTAACCATTTATTAAACTTAAAATCTTGTATTTTTGACACACTAATGGGTGTGTTGTAATTGTGTTATAATTAAATTCAGAAGATTTATGATAAGTATGTAATGATATCTAGGATTTTAGAAGATTTATTCTAATGTGTATCACATTTACCTATAATAAAGACCTATTTTACCTGACGCATAGTTCTGCCAAAACAATAGGTAGTAGAATTTATGGTTGCAGAACTTTTATCAAAATAGAATTAATTGACAAACGCTATAAATGTATAATACTCTCAAAATGCCAAGTCTCCAAAAATAAAAAGACAAATAATTTACGACGTAAAAATATTTGTCTTTTATTAGTCGTTTATGAAAACATGAACCCAATTACTAATACAATAAAGCTAAAAATAAAATGTAAGCCAGTTTATTAGGCGAGTCAGTGAACTGGAAAATGTCCTGTGTTAGATATTTATGCGTACCTGTTATTGTTTTGATAGAAGAAAAACAATATCTATACTTGGCAAGGTTAAGGCTATTTACGGTGAGAAAATGTAAACACCAGGAAATGTTCCCTTATGTATTTATCAAATCCGTTATTGAAATTAAACTTCTATGGTCAATAGCACTTATAGTAAATTCCTTTTTTTCTGTTTTTATTTAAGGTTACATACCTATAAAGAGTTTAATTATGAAAATGGCTCGCAAATCGGTACTAATGAGCCTCGGCTTAAATTGTGATAGCTGTAACATCTCATCATGATCAATATTCTAAGCCAGGCTACAATCTCGTAATGGCATAGATACGACGCTGCCTACAGCAGCGGTCGTTGTGGATGCCCACATTATTTCTTTTGATGATAAAACGGCTCGCAATTTATGCAAAAATTCCTTTCCAAATTTTCTAAAGCACGGGTTTCACGCAAAAATAAAAACAAAACTCTGTTCCACATTTAAATATCGCGCCAAAAATATGCGGTAATAATGCTTGGGGCACAAAAGCAAGGACGGGCACAGACAATAATTTATTAAACAGTCAAGAGATCAAGTTCTTTATACAAAACACTTTATTTTTTAAACTGGATCCGATCGTGTGAAGTGTGCATAATCTGTGCATTGTTTATTCAGCTCTGCGACTAACAAGGTCAAGATTTTTTCAATAATTATGAATAAAGTTGTTTGGATTTATGACGTAATATAAAAAGCAGCGAGTTTATTGTTATGCCGGTATAATTACGTGGATGTTTAACTACATATCGCGATGACAATCCTCTATTAGATGGTTCATGTTTTGTGATGGGCATGATAATATCAGCTTTGGAATACCAGTCGTTTTTTGTTATTGTGTTGTAGATAAGTATTCGTATAATCATGCATCATTCCGTTCATTCTTAGGCGAAAATTTAAATGTTAGGGAAAATCAGTATATGCAATATACTCAGATAATATAGTAATCATTTTGAAACACGGTTTCTACGAATACGGTGCAATGGCGACGTGCTAACAGCATCGCTGCTGTCATGCAACTAAAGTAATTATTTTACTTAAGACTGCGCCTGAAATTAAAGCGTCTTACCACACTTTTTCTAAACAGCCTTTTCCTACAGATTTACTGCAAGCGCGGCAGCGTTTTATTTATTTTTACGAAAACATCTCATTATTTATTTTCTTCTCATTAAAACTAATTATACTAGACCTATATAAAACTTATCACTTTATTTAAAATACCTAATAAATTACTGAATTTTGGCAAAGAGTGAATGATTTCAAGAACTTTTGAAATGTCACCAAGAAAATAAAAAATATTCCGTCAGTCTCTTCTTCACTGAAGCTAAAGATATATTAAAAAAATAGGTTACCATCGAATGAATAAAATGGATGTCGTGGTGGCCTGGAGGTTAAGGCTCTCGCTTCTCATGCAGGAGGGTTCGGTTGGAACTTGTACTTGAACAAATACCAATGTGAATTTTTCGAGTTACATGTTTCTGATTACCTATACATAAAGACACCACTGACATAAAAGGTGAAGGAAAACATCGAGAGGAAACCTGTACAACTAATCTCTAATTATAAGTTTGAAATCGCCAATCTGCCTTAAGTAAACGTGTTGATTAATGCTTAAACCTTCTCCATGTGAGAAGAGGCCTTTGCTCAACAGTGGGCAGTTATACGTTGATGATGTTATAAAAAATCTTGTAAAAATAATTCTCGTTTATACATGTAATAATAACAACACGATTGATTGATGACAAATATTGATAGAATAGACGTAAAACAAAAGAAAGGGAGACACGCACAAATCTGTCATTTGCCGAGGCGTACAAAACATTTTGCAACGATTCCTTCCTGGCCATTAAGCAGATTTTCCGCTAAATTATTCCGAATCAATATTGTCGTGTACATCATGTTTCTTTGTCCAAATCAATTCGAATTATTTACAAATTGTTTATTTTATTTATGGAGAACTTTCTTGTCAAGACTTCTACTTACCTATCAATGATTTCATTTTTATTTTCCTTGAGCTAACTAGTATGCATCCTTTAAGTAAATACAAATTCATTAATTAAAAGGGATTTATTAAAAAAAGAAAAGTTTTTTTTTTAACCTAGATCAAAATAAAAATATTTGAGCGTAGAAAATTAAATGGTTTGAAATATTTTTATATTTATGACATGTGTAATAATTTAAATTTTTTTGTGACACTTTGTGCAAAAGAGCTTCTTACTTCATGTCAAGCAAATATGGATGGATGATAAAACTATATAATATCCTAATTTTAGACTCATTTAAAAACATATAGGCATGTATGTTTTCTTTTCTTTGGGAAATGGGAAATATGTTTGACATTCGGTACCTATACTGTTACTGGACTGTTAATTTGAAATATTGTGTTAGGTTAAGTAAAATTTAAACTGAGCGACGACGTAGGAATAGGAATGTAGAATGTTCCATATA